AAGTGAGAGGCAGTGGAAGTGTTTGGAAGGCATAGTTCGTCCAAGTAAAGTCAGAGGCAGTGGAAGTGTTTGGAAGGCATAGTTCGTCCAAGTAAAGTCAGAGGCAGTGGAAGTGTTTGGAAGGCATAGTTCGTCCAAGTAAAGTCAGAGGCAGTGGAAGTGTTTGGAAGACATAGTTCGTCCAAGTAAAGTCGGAGGCAGTGGAAGTGTTTGGAAGGCATAGTTCGTCCAAGTAAAGTCAGAGGCAGTGGAAGTGTTTGGAAGACATAGTTCGTCCAAGTAAAGTCAGAGGCAGTGCAAGTGTTTGGAAGACATAGTTCGTCCAAGTAAAGTCAGAGGCAGTGGAAGTGTTTGGAAGACATAGTTCGTCCAAGTAAAGTCAGAGGCAGTGCAAGTGTTTGGAAGACATAGTTCGTCCAAGTAAAGTCAGAGGCAGTGGAAGTGTTTGGAAGACATAGTTCGTCCAAGTAAAGTCAGAGGCAGTGGAAGTGTTTGGAAGACATAGTTCGTCCAAGTAAAGTCAGAGGCAGTGGAAGTGTTTGGAATACATAGTTCGTCCAAGTAAAGCCAGAGGCAGTGGAAGTGTTTGGAAGACATAGTTCGTCCAAGTAAAGTCAGAGGCAGTGGAAGTGTTTGGAAGACATAGTTCGTCCAAGTAAAGTCAGAGGCAGTGCAAGTGTTTGGAAGACATAGTTCGTCCAAGTAAAGTCAGAGGCAGTGCAAGTGTTTGGAAGACATAGTTCGTCCAAGTAAAGTCAGAGGCAGTGGAAGTGTTTGGAAGACATAGTTCGTCCAAGTAAAGTCAGAGGCAGTGGAAGTGTTTGGAAGACATAGTTCGTCCAAGTAAGGTCAGAGGCAGTGGAAGTGTTTGGAAGACATAGTTCGTCCAAGTAAACAAAAAAATGTATTGTACCCCGTCACGAGCCAGATGGGCATGTCATGTTCAAGAATACCAGACAGCATCATTCCTAAACAACTAATGTTTGGCCAACTCTCCAGAGGGAAACGCTCAGCTGGTGGGCGGAGAAGGCGCTTTAAAAACGCAGCTGAAATCTATGGACACCTGAATTCGTGGGAAAAATTTGCTTTGGATCGTACATGATGGCGAGGCAGACCGTTTGAACACAGTCCTCAGAGACTAAATGCACCCTTTACGGCCTAAAGAAAGCATACAACAAGCTGAATTGACTCCAATCCAACTAGGATCCCAAAACATGTGTGTCCTACATGCAGGAAAGCCACCTGCATACTCATTGTTGAATATACCCTAGATCATCTTCGCATGAGAAGGAACACAAAAAACACACATAGCCTTGAATCATTCTACTTTCTAGTTTCTACAATGTTTCTTTCGTGTTCATTGACAGCTTTATTATCTGGCTTAGGGGTGACAGTAGGACAAGACAATTAACATTTGAAAGTGATCACTTTTATTCATATTTCATGTCACTGTATATCAACAGTTTTTGAAGCATTGGTGAATATCCATATGTAATTNGGGGGGGGGGGGGGGGGGGGGGGGGGGGGGGAATCCTCGGGGCATCTTGCACAATACATCTTGCCATGAAAACATGGCTTTGAAAGGGGACAGTTTGATTCATATTTAAATTTAACATTTCTGTACATTATAAAAAAAACTTTAAAATGTTTGTATGTGGATTATGATAGAGACAACACTTCGAGCTGGACTAGGAATAACACATTAGACCATTCTGTAAACATGTCATATTAGTAATTAGGCTAAATCACAAGTTGTTTTTTTTAAAGCAATTCAGTGAGACACTGTTTGATGTTTGTAATTGAGGAGCGTTTCTTTAAAAGGGACTGTCTGAATTTCAAAATTTTGAGAAAATAGGGTAAAACTATTTATTTCTCTTATAATTTTTCACTTATTGCACAAAATTTAGGGGAGAGACAGGATTTATCTTATTTTTTTGGCCTTATTCGACATGGTTAGAAATATAAATTATAATGAACACTCTTAAAGGAAACAAACAATTTTGGAAAAAGATTGATTTAAACCCTTTTTGAAAACAAAATGCTTTTCAAGTGGAACAAGAAAAGGGTATTGAAGATGAAGGAGCACTGGTTGGATTACCTCAGTGGGCAAGGTCCAGCTTGCAACAATACGTTGCTGACCCATGACACTGTTCTCAAAATTCATAACAACCTATACTACAGGTGCTACGACACAGTAGAAGATTTTTAAAATATACCAATTAGTTAAATAAGTTATTTTTTCTAATGTCAAGAGTTATTATGCACAAAGGTTATAACAACTAAATAAGTTATTTCATGACAAAAAAAAAAAAAAGCTAAAATATAAGTGAATGCTTTCTTCATTAACTTTTAATCTGATTTGATTTTACCTCTGGCAAAAAAAAGAGAAAGCAATTTCATCTATAATAGTTAAGTAGAGAGAGAGACTTCTATTGCTGCCCACAGATACTACTTACCAGCTAAATGCTATTTCTTATTTTTATTTTTATACCGTTTTTTCTGTTGTTTTGTTCGCTGACGAAGGCTTTCTGCTGACACGTTCGCTGTTTAGTTGCGTTTATTTTTTCAGGTTTAACCCTACTCTGTTTTACTCATTTATAATAGTTAACCAATAGACTTTATGAGATAAGCTTTAACTAAGAGGAAGGGAAAAGGTTTCATCATCCATTGTCTATAAGAAAAAAATGACTTTACATAACTTCTCTGAACCTTTTGTGAATCCTTATGTTGTTTAAAACAAACTTTTTATCTATGCATTACACTTGAGCATAAATATATAAAAATATATACATTTTAAGACCGACATTGATTCAATGCCAAGCCAATACTAGATTCAAAGAGACACTCTCACTATTATGATTCACCCTCTTGTTTACTTTTCATGAAATAATGTTCATACCATTATTTTTCAAAGTGGCTAAACTTGCCAGGTTGATGAGTAAATGAACACATTTTTTTAATATGATCTTCATGAATATCCAGCAAATTGAAATATTATGAGAGTAAACTGACATTTGACTAGTAAAATAGGGTAAATAGACCTAAGCTTCAGAAATATTCTGCTAAACTTTGTACCAGTATTCTAGATTGTAAATCATGGCAAACGACTCCGACAAGACAGTAAGTTGATACTTAGTCAAGAACAGTAAACAAGAATATTATTTGAAATGATGAAAATGAGAGTGGACTTATTGAATACATATCAGTGAAAAAATCAGTGCACACTAATATAATCTTTACATCAACTCAACTCTAACACAATAAATACAATAATCTATGTACAGACACAATTGTTCCTTATTTATCTAAACTTGGCTATAATCCATGGTTAACTCCAGCTCAAATTTTCCAATAAATTTAACATGCACAGCTAGCATACCATCAGTGAAATATCTTTCAGCTTTCCCAAGACACCAAATTTATTTTTATATCACTTCTATATAGTACATAGAAGAACATTCTATGTTGTTGTCCTTGTTTTTTTTTTTTGTGTCATTTATTGGTGCTTATCAAAGTTTAAGTTTCATGGGTAACAAGAATTTCTAAAAGAATTTAACTTCAAAATTACATTAATAAGAACAGTGACAAATTTAACAGAGAGGCATATTTCTCTGCATTTGATTACAAGAAATTATAACCATATAATTTTTTTTTTAGCTTAATTTGAAAATTAACTTTGATTTTTACAGACAAACTTTAAAAAGAACCATTTAACTGTCTAAAAAATTAACAGTAGCATTTTCCCAAGCCTGGCAAGCCTAATAAAAATAATATCCACAACCATCCAGAACCATGTTAAATTAAAACAAATAAACATTATTCTTCTATAAAAAGTCTAAATCACAAAATGGCTCGAGAGGGATTAAGATTTCTCATTATTTTAAATGCTGAAAATAAGTGGGTTTTTTTAAAATGCAAACTACATTTTAAGGATTCTGACAAAATAAGTGGCTGCTTTATTTTACACATGCTGGGGGGGGGGAGAGAGAGAGAGATAATTAATTGCTATTTAAATCAGTGGACTGCACACTGGGTGACTCACACACAGCATGCAATCAACTCTTAATATAAAGAAGATCCTTTTGACCAAGTTACTTTTTAATTATAAAAGTCTTTCATTAAACTCCAGCTGACAAATGACTTTCTCCCTTTTAAATCACGTTGGGGTAACGTTGGCGTAAACTAATATATTTTTGGGTATTGGCTAAAAAAAAGTTCCCTGACCCCTGCTCTAGCGAAATGTTTCTATATTTAAGACAAGTATCAAATATTAAACTTATTGCAACTGTTAGATTACCATATCTCACAGATGACCAGTTGCATTAAGATGCCTGAAAAAATATATCAAACCCATGTGGAGACTGTACGTGTTATTTTAAAATCACTTAACAGAAATCAATGAGAGCCTTCTATGAAAGAAAGTCAGACAATATTGCAGTATGTTGTCAAAACAAATCTCACCAAAATGTCCTTTCTTTGAGCCCATATTAATTCTTCTAACCGAGTTGTGTATATCTATATATTTATTAAAGAGTATAAAATTATATCCAGATATATTATATTTGTTGCATTTTAAAATTTTTAAAGAATACATTTATATAATTTTTAATTATGGCAAATTATGTTTAGTATCATGAACGGATCTGATAACATATCTTCCTGAAGAATTTAAATACATAAAAATATAATATAAAATGAGCAACACATATATTATCATAAGTTATTCTAACATTAGACAAAAACAACATCTAAGGCAACTGGGTTTTATAAAAAAATTATGTAGAGATCAAGTAACAAAAATATTTTGGTAAATAATGTGAGGGGAACCACAAAATATTTTGAAGCAATAATATTCCCCCTCACTGTTTATAGAAAAAAAATAGAAGTCTGCAAAGACCTATGAAGTGTTTAAGGAAAGCAAATGCCATTATTACAAAAATATATATTTGATGTGTTCGTCAACAGGAATAAGATCATCTTAGCTACAAGTGTGAGTTGTGTCAGGAGTACAGCTTCAAACCAGATCTATGGTCAAACCGCAAGGGGAGCGAACTTGAAAGGGCAGACACCTCCCAATAAAGGCTGCGAGACAAGAAGAGGCGGTAAAGTAGGACACCCGCTATAGACTGGCAGATGAGAACACCCATGGTGATCAGCTGTGAACAGAGCAGAAATAAACCTATCTTTACACTGTCAAGTCTCAAGAGCAAAGTGTCTTTTTTTTAAATGGCTGTATCAGCTTAAATCATTGGGGAAAGACAACCAGTTTTACAGCCGTTTCGGATGAGCTATTGTAATCGACATACAAAATTAACAGTAGTCATCAAATTGTCTCTCATACAAGTCACAGTAAAATATCTTGTATATGGGCATGTATGAGGGCAGATTTTAAAATATTAAATGATTCAAATTCAAAACATTAGCTTGAATTGAAGATTTTTAAATAAGAAATAATAAATAATAATAATAATAGTCAAAATAAATTTATATGTCAAAGGTTTGTAAATTAGTGCCATCGGTACAATACAATTTTTTTTCAAGATATTTGTAATAATTTTGGTTCAAAGTTCAAAATTCGATACCACATGCAGACCTGTTTACTCTTACGATTTTGGCGTACAATGTATGATTTTGAGGTGTATGCATTATATACACTATGTGTTTTTTTTACTATTAAGATAATGTATTGAACGATTTTGTAGTGATATTGTACGATTTTAAGAGTTTGGGGGTAAACAGGTCTGCACATGTAACATGACAAATTTAATTCTAGACATAGGAAAGACGTATAAAATTGTTACCTTATATCGTAGGTATTCTGAAAATATCATTGTAGATAGCACAATAACTGGATAGCACAGAAACCACATCATACACAACTGTGAATTAAAAAACATGTAGGCAAACTTAGTACACAATTCTGAAGGGGGAAAACATTGAAATAACATGGTAACAATAAAGTACATGCAACAATATGTGACTAGTTTAAAACATTTATAAAGCTTTCCCAATAAATAAATTCAGATGAAGCCTTAGCCTGCTTTTTTAAAAACATTTTATAAAGAATAGTTCTGCTTAAAAGCAAATAACTAAAGATGATGCATGAAAAGAACATTGAGCATATTACACTGAATGAAAAAAAAAAAAAAACTACTTGAACATAATTGTTGGGAAAAAAAAACTCAAGTATTTTTTTTTTTTATTTTAAAACATTTATAAAGCTTTCCCAATAAATAAATTAAAATGAAGCCTTAGCTTGCTTTTTTAAAAACATTTTATAAAGAATAGTTCTGCTTAAAAGCAAAAAACTAAAGATGATGCATGAAAAGAACATTGAGCATATTACACTGAATGAAAAAAAAAAAAAAACTACTTGAACATAATTGTTGGGAAAAAAAAACTCAAGCATATCGGACTTTTAATGGCAGGAGCAAGTTGAATTCTACAATTTAAAAGAAAAAACACAAGTAAAGTTAAAATGCCCATCCTCTGACTATTGTAAAAAGATCGATTTTAACGGAGGAACCAGAGTCCTTTGTTGTTTTTTTTCAGTGTTAAATAAATGTTGTTGTTTTTTTTAAAGAATAACAAATCTGAAAATAGGGGTGAGAAATTTAAAAACCATTCCTGGTTCAACTTATTTAAATGCTTCACCTTAGTAAATGAACTATAGAACTTTCTTTTCAGGCTGCTCCGCTCTGAGGCAATCAGCTGTTTCAACTTGATGGCAAACATTCCTGCAAGAAGTATACGCAGCACAACTAAAGAGATGCCTGCATAACTACGCTGGGCATGGTACAACCTGCGGCTTTGATCCAGACTCTGCTCCCACATGAAGAGAAGACCCTGATGGAGAAATAATGCAATAAAATAAACTCGGTTTTACAATGGGCTATTTTTTTTTAAGTGTAAGACTGAAACCAGATGATGTGATGAAATTACCTGTTACTATTTACAAAGGTTTATGAATGAAAAATTAATAAAGTTGAGGTATCAACATTAATTGACTCAATAAGGAAAAATAACTTAAATGAAATAAAAAGAAATGAAAAAGCAAATTTTCCAAGAACATTGATATGCTTCCAGTCTCAGATAGTCAGAAAAAAATTCATGTAATTGATTTTAATGTGGCTCTTTTATAGCAATGGTCCACCATGTTTTAGTGGAGAGAGTTCCTGCCAGTAATATTCCATACCAGCTTAACATGAAATTTAGCAGCACTTCTTCACTATTCCCTCCCCACCACTCCCTTGAAGCTCTGATCTTGAAAACTGAAACCATTAAGATAATAATACACTCTGTGAAAGTCATAAACACAGAGCAATCAACATCAGGAAAGGAGTAAACAAAGTAGTAACACTCTGAATGAATAAAACATCGGTACCATTGCCTGTAATCCATATGCATCCAAACGTGACCAGATATGTTCAAACTTTAAATTTAAAGGCCATTTTTTTCAGGTCAACATATTTAAATTGTAAGAAAATTGCATTATACAAGTGATGACTGATATAGTGATGACTGTGAAAATTCAAATCACATATATGCTTTAGTCATTAACTCATTAGCTAAAAATAGAGCCTAATTGTCTGGGCTGCTCGCTGTTCAAAAGTAAATGAGTTTAAAAAGCAGCCAGACCAATAAAAAAAAAAGTACAAAACATACCTGCATAATACCTAGCACAAAAACGACTCGAGCAGATATTCTTTTACTGATGGTGCGCAGATGTGAGTATCGACATACAGAGTGGGCAGAGGCCAGGGACCACCCCAGGGACAGGCTGAGCAGCATGAATAGCATGGTAAACTGCGAAAGCATGTCCAAAACTGAAATTTAAAAAAAAAAAGTCATGGTTATTTGACCGCACAACATTTCTCTATTTTTATTATGATGATAATGGCTTGTTTAAAACCATTTCAGTTGTGTATATAGTCTTAATTATTATTGTGGTGATAAGAGTTAGTTTCACACCATATCAGCTTTGACTAAAGTCTTTCTTTTTTTTTTTAAATTGTAAAATACAGATAAAATACATTGACATCTTCTTCTTTCTTCTTTATTTTGAGGGCCCACGATCAATGAATTGATCATTCTGGCTCCTATGTTTCAGAGGGGTTTGCAATGTTACTGTGCATGGGTTTCAATGGGATGCTTCACTGGTTGCAAAGGTGACTCAGCAGTGGTGTTACGAACTGGGGGTTGGAATACAGGAGGCAATAGACACAAATGTATCGAGTGTAGCCGCCTCAACTGTTGCTTTTGGAAGCTTGTTCCAGTCCCCTATTGTCTTCGGCAGGAATGACATGAAGTGGTTCTCACTGGTTAAATGAGTTCTGTACACTTTATAATATACTGAACATGTGGGAAAAAAAATTAATTTAAAATATGCCACACAAAAAATGCATTTTTTCCCCTTAAAATTTAAAGAAATTATTACATTTTAATTACTACGTACATTCTGATAGTAGTTCAATAATAGGGGATCCCACTCCATCTCTTGAGTACCTACAGTATGACAAAGCAGTGATTAAAACAAAGAAATAGCAGCAGTGCCTTCTTCCTTAACATATACGCCAGGTTTTCTCATTATACTCATGAGCACATTCATTTTTCAAGTTCTTTGTTTTTATTACATTTTTAAATAATAAACTGCAATAAAATTTCAGCTAAACAATTGTTATATTAATAGGTTACTTATTGTGCTGTCTTGAAAACATGTGGGTAATAGACAAATAACATTTGCTAGGACAATGTTCCAAAATTATAGGTCAAGCATAATATCCAGCTGGGGCAATGCAAAAACTGTGAGCTTGCAAAATACAGGAAGAGGTGCATAATCTATAATAATAATTCCAGATCCACGGACTTTGAGGGTTCTTTGGCAAACATGGACCATCTTACTATTTACAATGTCATAAAGACTAGGATCTGTGTCCTTATCTGGTATTTCAGCACAAACTTTTTTTTATAAATTTCTTTTGTGTGCATTTGGTGTGAACATTATCAAGCTCAGGACAGGGGAGCAGTGCATGAGAGTGCAGCCTGTGTGCAATGAGAGTGGGACAGACAAGAAACATCCCCTCTGTAATTATTATTATAGCTTGTATGTATTTAAAATTCAAGGATCCAGAAATTTGAGGTCCTTGTGCAAATTTGCACAAAGTGTGCCGATTATATCTTAGTTGTAGTGGTATTGAGGCTATAAATCAGAACAACAAAATAACACTTACAAAGATATGTAGCCTTAATTTATTATTGAAACATAAATTCTTGTTTTCTCATTTTTTTTGTTTTGGTCTTAAATTCATTTTATTTTCATTGTTATGAGCACATAAATGGAGAAAAAATGTCTTTATGTTAGATCACATTAATTGAACTTAGTGTCTAATTCTTTCATGTAAGTAATAGGTAAGTAATAAATATTTCTAAAGAGAAAAGTATTATTAAACAATTGGAAGGCACAAACAATATTTAAAAACTAATGTACCTGTAAAAATGTATTATTATTATAAATGCGGCAACTGCCTGAAGTGACATGGACAGTGTGAGGAGCTGAATGACAAGCTGCATGGGGCCACCTTTACTGAGCGTGTCCCACAACTGGGGTGCAACCACACAGGCCACCACGAAGTAAATCAAAGACAAGAGCTGGTAAAACTTGAGAAGCCCTGGGAAAAAATAAAACTGCATTATAATATTACCATGCAGCATTATGCCCTTAAAAAATTGTTATTATTAGAGTTAAATTAGTGGGAAATTTAAACTTTTTTAAAGGCACCACATGAAACAAACAAAAATCTGTAATTGTCTACATACCGGTCTCCTGATCACTGAAGTGTTCTGTTGGATTTCCAAGGCTATCAGGATTTAACAACTGCAATGTGTATTCAATAACATTAGGTTCCTCCACAGGTATTTTGGGCCTGCCCTGCTCACATGTGAATAGGTCAGCATAAACTATGTGCCAAATGCGAGGCGTTACATAGTGAGAGATAGCACGAGTTCCACTAGTCTCATTGATGCGAACTGAGAAAGTTAAAATGAGACTCAAATTCATCGGAAGTACATGCCAACATTTTCCTCTAATAATTCAAATCAAAGCTCTTCATTTATCTCTATACAAAGACATTTAAATGCTGCATAAAAATTAATTGTGACACATCATTTTAATCAAAAATTAATTTACTTATCTGAGATTCATTGATTTAAATTGTGTAATTGCTTTTTAAAAATTTAATAAAATAATCAACTTTTCATACGATTCAATTATTATTGGTTATTTTCATTTTATCTCTCAGATTACAAAAGATTTTATTATATGGGATAAGTCCAAAATTTTGTCAAAAGAGAGTACCCTTGCCCATGAATGCCCCCTACTTTTTTCAATTTGAGTTGGTTCCAAAATCATATCTGTTGTTTCTAAACCCATTTTCTCTTTTCTCTCCAAAAATAGTTTTTTTTGGTCGTAAAGACCTATATGGTCGTAACTCATAATAAAAAAATTTCTTACTTATAGTCCTAGCCTTGGCAAGCCGTCGATAACAGTTTGTATCACCTGCAGCATTTTTCCAATCTTCAGACACAAACAGATACAACTTTGGTTCTGTACCTGTTGTGTTCACTGTAAAATTTAATACAGCATTACCTGCAACAACAAAAAATGGTTGATATATAACGACCATTTTTTAAAAGTTATTTTTGAAAGAAAAGTTTAAGAAAACTGTATAGATGCTTGGATCCATAAACTAAAAGTTTTACAAATATTTTTTTGTGTGCATATGATTTGACAATATTATGCTGTTTGATGGCAGTAGTTAACATTGATATTTAATCCTATTTATGCAAGGAAATGTGTTTGAAACTAAATATATTAAAAGATTATTTCTTTAATTTGTTGACACAAAGTTTCCCATTTAAAATGGTTAGCTAGGGCAAGGCAGCCTTAATACCATGGCACCGCATAACTATGTTTTAACAATTTTATAAATTATTACTATTGGTGAAAAATCTGTGTTTACAAAATCTGGAAAGACTACCACAACCTAATTTTATGCTTAAATGTGCATGTATCTATAAATAAATAATTATTTATTTACCATGAAAAGCAAATGAAGTAACATATTGTCCTTTCTCTCCTTGTGCAACATATGTATTAAATACTCCATGGACTGTTTTAGCCTCAAGCAAATCTGGCAAAATTTGAATAACTAGCCAAAATAATATCTGTGAACTTTTGCATCCTCTGTTCATTAATGCTGCTAAAGGCTGTTTGAAGATGAGTCCAAGTATATGCCAGGTTGCATATTTTGCATACATGACAAAAGACATTAAGTCTAAGTAATGAACATTTGGATAGATCAAATGACATCAAAGTATTCAAAGTGCAAGTAAAATTGATTTTAAAAGTTGAATAAACGTGGCTCAATAATAATGTTCATTCAAATCATTTTAATACTGGCTAGATGAAAACCTGGGAACTGAGAATAAAAAAAATTTGTTATTTTTAATTTTTTTAAATTTGCAATCTTATCAGATGTCATGTGGAACCCAGCTTTAACTATAATGTGAAAATTGTTATCAACAAAATCATTGAATGGCTTCAATAATTTAAATTATAAATTTGCATACAAAAAACAAAACAATTGCAAATAACTGAAACAGGTCCAAATTCAAAGCCACAATGCTCACTTACTAGGAGAGATTAAAAAATATATTTCTTAAAATATGAAATCACCTATATTCCTACTTTAAAAAAATCCAAACACTAGAATGAATATTGTAAAAACTCTCATCATAAATGTGACAAGGTATAGCCATTTTAAGGACTCCAATTATCACATTTGAGCAAAATTTCAGTGCTTGATTAATGAACACATAAAATATTTTGAAAAAACACTTTAAAAAGACTCTTATGATACACAACTCATAATAAGATAAGATGAGATTCTTTATTGATCCAAATAGATAGAAAATTCAAACAGACTGGTGAACAAAAGAATTTTTATATCTTTTTCTGTCCTAACTTTGAGAGAAAGAATTTGCCCTGATCAAGCTGATCTTAAGTATATGTGATGAAGAGGGTTGGATGTATCATCCAAAAATTATTTAGTTTTACAACAGCATTTTTATTCAAATAGTTCTTCAAGTGAAGGATATTTAGTTTGTGTGTTATTACTAGATTTCTTGATAATTCTATTCAAACGGTGTTTGATGTCAGACTATGAATTCCCACACTAGCAGGTAATACTGAAGTTCAGTAGGCTTCCAAATGCTGCACAGTTTGTGTAAAGCTGATCTTGATGTCAAACATGTTGTTGAACCTGTTGTCAGTGCAGTGAATGCAACAAGAGCTCGGGCACATTCTTGGCAAGCTTAATGACCTGACCTACAAGGGAAAAGTGTATTGCTCATGAGCTCTTACAGCAGTCATGTCTTTTCAAGTGAAACTTATGTTCACTAGACTTTCGGAAGAACACAACTCTGCTCACTTTCAAACATGGAAGACACAAATTGTTTCATCAGAATGTCTTTCAAAATTAAGCAAACAGATATTATCTTTGGAAGGAGAATTTTCTAATCATTTCAGTGATTCTAAAGTGATTGGGACCATTGTGTTCTTCTCACCATGCCATTTTTATTTGATATTGACAAAGCTGCTAATATTCTGCAGACTCCCAAACAGTCAACATTCTCAAAGAGAAATTCAAAGACATGGAGATAACAAAGTTTTATGCATCACTAAATGATGATAAATATCCACATTTTAATATAAAACACTTGGCCTAGAAAATTTTTCATTTTATTTGGCCCTTCTTACATTTGTGAGCAAACCTGCTCCTGCATGAGCATTAATAAATCTAATTACTAGTCTCTGTTCACTGATAATAATTTGGATTAAATACTATAAATTTCAACAAGCACTTTGATTCTGGGTTATGAAAAACTGATTGTTATCATATACCCTTAATTATTTTCAATGTATTAAAATTTTTTTAATTTATTGCCAAGAATATTTTTTTTTTTATCATCTCACTGTAATTTTATTTTAATTTGTTAGTAATTAATCCAATATAATGAATAGAACATCCGATCATCGTCCCTTCTGTGAATTTTTTAAAAGCTGAATATACCGAATACCCTACCACACCACACTTCTGTCAGGTGGATAGTTGTCTGAAGGAACTGAATCTCATATTGTAAAACAAAATGAAGTTAGACTCCAACATGTACACCCATGAGAAGGCATTTCAGACCAAAAAAACTAATTAAGTAAGAATCATCCAAAACCCATTTGATTGCATTTTTGATGAGCTACCAGCTGAACTTCTTATGAAAGCAATCAATCTGCAGATCTATGTTTTCTTGAAATTCAGAAACACACAAAGGGAAATTGATAGACCTTTATAAGTGGCTACTGAGGGATCAATATACTAATTTTAAAGCATTTGCTTGTTATTTCATATTAGTCTTTATCACCATCTACTTGTGAGAGAATACATTTTCAAAAATGAAATGTGAAATCCAGTTTCAGAGCAGCCTTATCTGATGAGCACTTCCAAGCTTTTTCAATAACGGAGTACCAGTACAAACTTTTACCCTTAACAAAATGTTATTATACCAGAAAAGCAACAGTGTCATGCTTCCAATGATGTGAAAAAAAATATGATAGTAGAATTTAAATGTTTTCTGTTATGAACTGGTTTTGTGAGCATGGTTGGTTGTGGATGGAACTTGATGAATGGTTTATTTGGGACTAGTTGTGTGATTGAGAAAAGTGTAAAAGGTCAATAAAAAAGTGAGTTGTTTACATGCTGTGGGACATGGGGGTGGCAATTAATTTGTGTGGAGTCTTTTGAATTAGAGTTAGAGTCAGTACAATGATTTGTGACAAGAGTTGTTAGTGTGTTAATTTCTGTTGAGCAGTAATGTTAAGAGCTAGCAGAGTGAATAGCGCGGTACCCCAGCCTAGTTACTAGGGTTTTAGTCTTCAAGAGCATTAAATGATCATCAATCTATTTCGTGAATAAAAAAGAAGATAAACTGACAGCGTGTCAAGTTTTGTAATAATTAAGAAACCATGTGTGGCAGAAAAAACACCCAGACTATTTGAGCCCACTAACTACCTGTCAAAATCAAGGTGGAGTTCTTAACATTTGCAAAAGATTTAATTTGGAATCTCAGTTAAATTAATGTTTTTTATTTCAGTAAGGGACCATTTTCTTTTTTATATTCAATTTTCGATGTGGAAATAAAAGTGCGTCTAACAGTATAAGTTTTGGAGATATGGTACATTGAAAAATAACGCTGTAAACTTAATAACTTTGTCTAGCCTAGAGCCGACCGAAAGTGATTTTCTTATTTCAGCACCAAAACTAGGTCGAAATTTTAAAATGTCTTTTGGCCGAAGCAGAAATTAAACCGAAATTTTACTTTTTGTTTTCTGCCAAAACCTAAATTCAGTCGGTCTCTAGTACAGACACACCAAATTTCTTTTCTTTCATTAATTAAAATACTGGAACCTGTAAAATACAGTGTAATGTATTACTAAAACTAGCAATAATTAACTGAATAATATGTCTTGCAAGCACATTCACAATATAAGTCAATTTTAAACATAACATAAATAACTGTAAAAAACTAAAAATCTGTTGAAAATCAGAATTAAAATGCAAACATTCTCTCCTCCTTTTGTGTGGAGAAAAGGTGAGAGAATCCTAAACAGAAAGTTGATCCTGGGCAGATAGTGACGATGTAAAGTGACCATACTTTTTTTCGAATTTACATTTTTTCTGGAATGTTTTACAGCTGACCTGTTTTATTATTTTGGTAATCTACCACTTGAGCGTTGGCTACAATAAAATCCAGTGGTTCCAGTTTGAAGTACTATTTAAAAATTTATTAATATTACTTCCACAGAAAATACTACTGTGGACAGTAGAAGAGGGAGTCCCCGAGAGGATCACTGGGTTTTTGGTGGCATAGAAAGTAAGAGAGCGTGGACACTGTTTTCTCATGGAAGTGCCAGACTGACGTGTGAGCATGTTACACTATACTATTAAAATACTATCATTATAACAATATAGCCATTATTAATATATCCTACACTATAGACTATAACTATAGGATATGTTGAAATGAATCATATAAAATATAAAGTCATGTACTTGACTATGTAAATGTACATACAATAATGAAATAATATCATAAAAAAAACATGTATAAAATAATATAATTATAATGTATGCAGCATGCATGCTTTGATGATTTGCCTCATACTCATTGTTGGAATTGGTTATGTCATTTGTGATTAAACTAAATAAACGCTAAAAGGCTAAAACTAAAATAAGAGTTAATTTAATAAGATTATGATTAAGAGTACCGGTAATCCCTTGGGCCTTATCTTTTATTTTATTTACTAAAAATAGTAAGAGTAAAACTAATACTAATACTAATACTAATTTAGTAAATGCACCAATAAAGACACTTTTAATTTATTAATAATCAAATGTACTTTAAAAATTGTACGAAAGTAAAATAAGTTGATTGACGTATGTTGACAGTCCAACAATCCATTGTTACAAGACTCATTAAAAATATTTTCATTGTTGAGTCCCTTAGAGTCGGAAATAGTACGTGGTCGGATAATAAAATGCAGATCGAAACAATGTAAACAGAACAAAACATAATTTTCGGAGGTCATGGGTTATTTTTGGCATTAAAAACCGGAAATGAAACCATAAGAACTTAACTGATTGAGAAGTGCTCATCCCCCTTTAACGATGCATTTTAAAGAAAAAATGTGTTTTTAGAAAAAAATATGTCCATAAAAAATGTTTCTTGAAAACTTTTAATGTCGGAATATAATGGCCTCATATCCTACACGAAAAACAGGTTGGTAATCGCTTTTAAAAAATTAATTAACTACCCCAAAAAAACTACTTATTCTGACACTTTTGTCTACCTACCTACCACTAGCCACTAGCTTTTACTAATTCTTCTACTACTAAACTTTAGACTAGTTTAAACTCACTTAACTAACTTATAATTGATAACTTTCGAGTAATAAATAAGTTAAATAAGTAGCTAACGGTTCTTACGTTGACTTTATTATATTTATAGAGAAACTTTAGACTTCTTAATTTTACAATTTTTTTAACTTCTACTTCTACTTACTACTAATTTTGAACTACTCTTACTCTTACACTCTACTTACTTCTTAGACTAAACTTACACCTGGACTGGACAGTACTTATTAAACAGTATTAAACACATCTACTTTAGACTGATAAACATTAGTATTGTTTTTATGATAGAAACTTATACTCTATTGTTAATTGACTATTGAGTATTGAGTCTATGAAGTCTATGTGTATTATTGACAACTGACTAGTCAGATTCAGATATCAATCATTTAATAGTTTTATTAAAATTAACTGATTGTTGATGATGAATGATTTCTGATTAGAATCATTCATTAGTAACCTACTTAATCCTATACTTTTTTTTACTATACTAGAATACTATAATTTGTCTATCTGAATATCTGTGATAATAAACTATACTTAATAGTTAAATAATATTAATAATTAGTATATATATTATTATTATTAAGATGGTTTTATAAAGGGCAGTATCCCAGCTTGGTCTAGGCTCACTGCGCTTCCATTGTTTGGGGCACAGAAATGTCTGAAAGAGATAGATTGTTCACCATATGTTTTAGTGCGTTTTCTGGGAATAGAAAGAATATGAGTGTCCGCAGAGGAACAAAGCTTTCGAAGGGGTGAATAGGCAGAAAGAAGTTCTGTAAGAAGGGCAGGAACAAGAGAAAAAGTTGTGACAGAGAACGGACTGCTTGTAATCAATGCGTGCCTTATAGGCCTAAAATGAATAATAATAATTTATTATTAATGTAAATGTAATTGTAAATCTTATTCAGCATTTGTTGATTCACATTTATTTAGCTTTCTTTTCATTAGGACTTAGGCATCGGGTCTTTCATGCTTTAAATTTGTTACAACTTATTGATTAATGATTGTGGAATTAAGACTGATTTCGGGGCTGTTGTCATTTGACTTATAAATTGACATGAAGTAGAGTATGATAAGGAGAAACTCTGAAAACTCTTGCTGTGCTCAGCCTATTTCTTTAACTATTTTAACTTCCCAAATAAATAGAAATGGTCCAGCTATTGGCTTATAACTAAATGTTGATGTCTTAGAATACAATATAAAGCATCTTCTCATGTCATAAACAAGGGCAAAGTATTAAGCTACTACATACATGAAGAAAGTCCTCAATGTAAATGGGTATAAAGCAAAGTAATTTTATAAAAATGCAACTGCTACTTAATCAACATTAATCGGCAGTGTGTAAGACTACAAAATACTAGTGGAAGAATTCTGACAAACTATTTTTAAGCAACATAAAAAAAAAAGTGAGTTCCATCATTTTCAAGCAGTGTGGATATGAGAATATGGTAAATTCAGAGAAAGCGGCCCGCGTTTATTTCCATGCGCGCACTTTTACGTCTTAAATTATCGATCCCTATGCCTAACCTGAACCCTAAATCGATCCCTATGCCTAACCCGAACCCTAAATCTATCCCTATGCCTAACTCGAACCCTAAATCTATCCCTAAGCCTAACCCGAACCCTAAATCGATCCCTATGCCTAACCTAAACAAAGTCAATGTGGGCCGCTAAATCTGAAACAGCCGAGAATATTTACTGCCACTCCCATTCTGCTCAAATTTCTAAACATCAGTCTTAGCATAACTCAACTCAGCAACTATCAACTCACCTGTTGATTAACTTTTCTTACACATATTGAGGGGAAAAAATGCTTATTCATACACAATTTTAAAAAAAATACACTTGACAATTGAAACATTAGTTTACAAAATAACTTTTGGTCAGTGGCAGATTGGTCCTTGAATGAGTTATGGTCTAAAATCGCTATTGGGGTATATTGCATATGGAAAATTATTTATGTTAACATTTTATTTTTATAAGAATTGTATTATTTATAATTGTTTTTCAGGAAACAATACTACAATTACAAGAACAAGCAATATTCCGGTAAATAAGTAAGTACAATTTTTCGAGAGGGTAATCAGAATGTATCAGATCTTAAAAAAGAAAGTTATAAATGCTAGGACAGAAGTCAAAACTAAAAGTCCATTCAGGCAAGGATCAGGTTAATAATTATTTATTTATATATGTTTGTTTAAATTTATTGTGTTGAGTAGAATTTTAAAATTGTAATTAAAGTATAGAAATAATACAATTTTTAAAAATGTGAAAAAGCCTTTTAAGTAAACAATCTAAAATGCTATTTGTTGTTTTTCTGTTCGTACTGCAAATTAATTCAAACCCTATTGAAACAGAATTTTTTTTTAAATTCAATGATACATTATGTATTTTTACCTGAAATTTGTTTGAAAGAAATTTCATCGATGGAAAATTGATCAACGGAAATTTGGTTGAATCTTTTTTTCAGTTCACATGTTAAAATTTTCGTCAAATTTCTTTTTGAACGCACTATGTAGTAAAACAAAATTATGCCTTCAAAAGGACATTTGACACAAAATTTTAACGTGTTAACTGAAAAAAAAGATTCTACCAAATTTCCGTTCGATCAAATTTCCATCTATCAATTTTCCATTGAAGGATTTTCCAGATAAAGTATTTTTTATTGTTATCATCGTTGATATACTAAAAATAATGACAAAGTAGCTATTGTTAAATTGTTTTGATTTATTTTTATAATTTGAAAAAAATATAATTAAAAATAATTATGATCTCCATTAATTTATTCTAAAATAACTTAGTTCTTGTTAACTGATCTCATACCAACATGTTACGGGCTAATTAATAACTTTAAACCTTTGTTTTTACTAACCCTTTACCCAGGTTCCCCCCCCCCCCAATCTTCAGATTTAATTTCTTAGTATAGATTCTTAAAACAAAAATGACCATCCTTTAACCTTCCATTTAATATTGTTCATTTACTATTGTCATTTTTTTTTTTCTAACCCCTTTCCCCCGTTCCCCCCCCCCCCCCCCAATCTTCAGATTTAATTTCTTAGTATAGATTCTTAAAACAAAAATGACCATCCTTTAACCTTCCATTTAATATTGTTCATTTACTATTGTCATTAATATGTTTTCTCTTATCCTTTAAAAAAAATATTTTTCATATCTTTTCTTGCTTACTGGTGCCTTGTTATGTCATAGAGCTATATATACCCATAATATTCTAAATTTAAATCAGTCGTTCTGCAACCCTCATATTGTGGTGACCTCTAACCATAAAATTGTTTTCGTTGCTACTTCATAAATATGTATTTTCCGATGGTCTTAGGTGACCCTTGTGTAACTGTCATTCGACCTCAAAAGGGGTTGAGAACCACTGTTCTAAATGAAAAAGTTGTAAATAATTCTTTTTTTATCAAGTACTTTATTTATTAAAATTATTAGTAACTTTTAAAATTCTATTAAAAATGAATACCTTATTAACCTAATTATATAACAGAACTTTGATGTAAAGTTAAAAACGAAGTCATTATTATTATATATTTTGTACTTGTAACTTCTTAGCTTGGTCGCTGGGATTTTAGACAGTTCACAATTTATCTGGTCTTAAAAGCGAAAACTTTTCCTAAATATTAATGCAATATCTATAAAGATTTGTTTAGACTGTTTATTGCAATGAAAGTTTTCAAGCTCAACTAACTTATATTCACTTATATCTATATTAAGTTGTTTTTTTTATGAAGATAAAAAATGTTTTTAATATACCTTTAATTGACCAATTATGCATATCTATTTCCACCTTTTTTTTAAACATTACTTAAGGAGGTAGAGCCTTACTTAACTGAAATTGCTGCCCTTTCCAGGTCACAAAACGAACAATCAAGATCTCCAGAGAAACCACCAGTTGCATCAAAACCCAAGATAGCACCACCTCCACCCCCCAAACCTACTTCCTTGTCTCCCCAATCCTCGCTCACTTCCTCTTTTCCACAATCTGATCAAAAGAACCCATGTATTTTATCATATAACTCAAGAAATGGTTTATCCAGTGAAACAAAAGACAATAAGTGTAAGTCATACGATCAATGTGGGCATGGGGGAGATCAGTTGATCAATGCATCTTCCATACCTCCACCATTGCCTACATCTCCACCCTCCCTAGTGAGCCAACATTCATTGGAAAACTCAACATCATTCTCCCTCCCGGCATCTTTTCGCAGTAAGACTTTAAGAATGGTAAATCTTTCTGCCCAAAGTCAAATACTTGTCAGCCTTTCTTCCAGCTCTTCTCCTATTTCACCCACATCACCAATATCATCTAGTTGCAGTACACTTGATCCATCACTTAGTACGAGACCCCAAGGGTCTTTGCGATCTCCCAAAATATCAACCACATCACTTTCTGAACAAGAAGCATTATTACTTAAGCCACTGCCCAACAAATCCCTAACTGCTTCCCTTCCCGGCCCAACCAAAACTAAATCAGAAATAAGTCTGCTGCATACTAAAGAAGCTGTCGCCATATCTGAAGCAGAACTGATACAAAATGAGGTTACTTCAAAAGCAGGAGAAAAACAATCACCAACACAGCTTAATAATAATGCACAAATATCAGATCAGTCCAATGCAATATTAGACACGCCTTCTCTAAAAATGCCTCACAGCTGTCCCAACAAACCCGCCTCTCCATCAAATCGATCACCACCTTTTGAGAGACCCAAAAGAACTCCACCCTCTCTTGGCAAGCTTGTATCTGCCCCATCCCAACCTGTGCCACAATTTGTTGAAAAGAAAACATCTCTACCACCTTCCAGACCTGCTCCACCTGTATTGAAACCTAAATCCTCCACCTTTGTAGACTCCCCACTTGAGTCTTCCCAACAGCCTTTAGCAGCACCAGGTATTCCATTTTTTTTAAGATCATTGTTGCTGTCTTAAAAGCTTTTAAGGGACTATTTGTTGTTTTGAAGGGATTATATGTTCTCACCATAATTATGATTTTACTCTATGTATTGAACTGATATGGTAAAATATTAAATAAAATAAATGATAAAGAAATTGAAATCAAATAAGAATTTTTTGTTTAAATAAGTAGAAGATTTGTTCATATACAAAAATTATTTGGTCATAATCACAATTCAGCTTTTAAATACGAAGTGAGTTGTAAATGTTTATAAGGTCATATATTTGCTTAAGTTATTATTTTTACTCTTTCCCAGTATGATAAAAAAATCACCTCCCTCCCCTCCTATGTGCTCGTATGACGTTCAGCCAAAATTGTTTAACCAAATAAATAGTTTTTCAACCAGATTTTCAATCTCCTTCACAGATATAAAATTTGGTACAGAGGTTAAATCCACTCCACCGCCTCTCCCCAAGAATCCTCCACGAGGAGGTGTGCCCAGAAAACCGAGAAGTTCCACCTGCAAGAAGACACCCACCTCTGAGATCAAACCCGTATTTCCTGGTTTTCAAACTATTGATGGTGCTAGCGACCAGACCAGTTTATCTCCTGACCCATCACTAGAGACTGACCTTGCTCCTGATTTAACAAAAAATAATTGTCCTCAATCAGTTATTGCTGCCACTGCCACTCAAGACAATTCTGACTCATTAAAAGCAGCTGGTCCAAAAGTAGCCCCTAAACCACGTCCAAGAACTAGACTAAGTCTTCCTTTGGCATCCAAAAGTGAACAAACATTGCGTGACCAAAGCAATAATAATATTTCCAAAGATTTATCTAATGATATAGGTGTCGATCAAGCCACCAATGATATTAAAAGTCATATTGAAGATGAGTGTAAAACTCCCAGTAGGCAGCCAGTTGAGTTGGATTACGTTGAAGTCTACCGAGGAGATTCAGAGGACCGTGATCTTACAGGGTCAGCACAAAGGCTTGATAATGACATAAATTCCAGGATTACTGATTTGAAGTATTCAAAAATAAATTTTGGGAAAAGTGCAATATCTGATTCTTCTTTAGAGAAGACAACTCCATTAGAGCAAGAAGTAGATGCAAATAAATGCAACTCTGAAACTTTTGACGTTGATACATCCAGTGTTTTATGTGAGGCAAAAGACCGCGAAGGTCAAGAACCTGAAGCAACATGTGGTATGCTCAAAGAAATAGAAGAATTACTTAAAGCAAAGCTAGGAGATTTAAAACTTGACCCAGGTGGTCAAGACGTTAAACAAACTGATAGTAACCCAGAAACTTTGAGTAGAGATTCCCCATCCTCTAGTCCAGTTCGTCCCCCGAGACCGAAACGCCAAGCAAGTATATGTCGTCGTAAAAATACAGGTAGCTTAGAGTCTCTCACCTCATCATTGGATACATCCAGCTCTGAGTGCATCCACACTAGTGGCCTTAGCACTGGTGGAAAAAAAATACCCCCCAAACCAAAGCGGACCTTTGTCAGTCGTGTCAACCGCAGCCATTCTGATGTGAGTGGCATGAAACCAGGTTTGGGCGACACAGAAGACAATATTGCAACAGATATGAATCAAAACACCCCAACTACTAAACCCTTTCTTCCTCCTCGCTTGGATTCCTTGAAAAGAAGTGAATCCTGCAGCTCAACAGTAACACCTCCACCATTGCCGCCAAGAAATAAGACCCAGAGTATGATCCAGAGTCCTGGTGGCAGCAGCGAAGGTCAGAGGCTTTCTGCTGCAGATGCTGAGACCCCTGTGACCAGGAGGACGCACCTGTGGGACCATGAGCACAATTTGGATATGTCAGTGGTGTCTGGACATTCGGGGACATTGAGGTCGTCTAAAGTAAGGCCAATGAGAAAAGCCCCACCGCCTCCTCCAGGGCCACCTAAACGATCCTCAACTTTTTCTCCAGGAGATGTCAAACTTCAGGATAATAAGGACATCAGGTTTGTTAGCCATTCTATAGGATAAATACTTTTTAACACTTTGATAGGGTTTGGGGACGACTTTAATTAAAGTTTTAATTCATTCTTCAATGCTTAATTCATTCTTTCAATGCTCTTCTGCGGACTGGTGCTTGAGGCAACAACCAAGGAATCCAACTTCTGTATATTTGCTAATGCTGAAAGTGTCAGGTATCTATTTAGCACATCCTTCTCTGTGTCAGGTCTCTCACCGTGATTTCATTGTTCCTGAGCTGTCAATTCTGTGATAGTGAGCTCACTGGCATTTTGCAAATAAATGACTACTTCTCAACGAAATACCACTGTCAAGTAGCTCCAAACCAAACTACACGTCTGTGGCCAAAAAAAAATGTTTTAAAAAGAGATAAAAAGACTCCTTTTTAGTTGACTTGCTAATATCAACAAGGCCTATCTGATTGCAAATAAAAATGTACACTCTGTGATTCATTTCTTTATTATAATAATTTCAATACTTTAACAGGGATTTATATCATACTAACTTGTGTAACCAACATAGATACAATCCTGAAACTTTCATTATGTAAATATTAGAAATTATCAATTCAATAGAAAAATGTATATTAAATATATCTTTGATAAAGTAAAGTATAGTTTTATTTTAAAGCTGTTCAATGCATACCTAATGACCATCTTCAAAGTTGTTGAGACAAATCATAATCTTCAGCTTAAAGCTGGTAAAGGAGACAATATTAAAAAAATCACCTTTAATGTTGATAAATGAGTCAAGATGTTTTTGCTCCTTAGTTGCTGTTGTGGGCTGAAGTAAGAACAGTAGCCTGCTGTCACCCCTTTTTTTCACCTTGGACATTATTTCATTGCACTCATCTTTAGTAGCTCTTAAATGTTTGAAAGTTGACACTTTCTCAAAGGTGTGCTTGATTATTTTGATGTTATCACCACTATGCATGTTTCGTGACATTACCATATATTTTGTCTTCGCTTCATTTACCTCAAGACCAGCTTTAACTGAGGCATCTTCAAGTTCCTTGAATGCTTTAATTATATCATTGCTGTTTCAGCCAGTAGAGCTATGTTGTCTGCATATGCCAGGTACTGCAATGGTTGGCTATATAAAGTTCCTGATGGTTGTGGTTCTGTAATGCTTCTCTGGAAGTGGGTTGTGATAGTTCCACTGGTGCTCATGTTTGTTTCTCATAACTTTTTCGAATGTGCTGTTGAACAGGATACATGATAGTGAGTCTCCTTGTCAGAGGCCCTGATTAATTTTTAACTTCCTCAAGCACTTTTCCTGTGCTTTATTCTACTTTTGGAGTTAGCCATCATCATATGTATAAGCTATAGAGCATCATAAAGATATTTCCTGTCTTTGCTATCATAACCTGTTTTATAGTCCACATATAGGTGGTGTAAGTTTATGTTGTATTCATAGCATTTCTCCAGAAGACATATGATAATGAAAATTTGACCTGTGGTTGATTTATTCTGATGAATCCACATTGATAGTCCCCTAGGATCTGTTCACTATACCTAACCAGTTGTCTTGCTATTGGTCTAGGGAGGATTTTGTAATTTACATTTAGTGGAGGGACTCCTCTATAATTTGAGCAATCCAGCTTGGATCCTGTCTTGTGAATTGGAATTATGAACACAGTACCTCATTATTTTGGAATTTCTTCCTCCTGCCAGATTCTGGATTTGAGGTTGTGCATTTGCCTATTCAGTTTGTTTATGCCTAGTTTTATCAGTTCTGCAGTGATAAGGTCTATTCCTGGGGGTTTGTTATTTTTCATGGTAAAGATCACATCCTTTGATTCATTCAGTGTTGGTTGGCCGACCTTTGTGTCAGTTCCTCATTGTGGTAGATCGTAATCCTCATTGGCTTATCATTGTGAGCCATTTAGCAACCCTTGATGCCTCATCAAAGATAGCAAGGGACTGTGCAGTCTAAATAACAATATAATATCAATGTTGCTATGTGTTTGCAAGTAAAAATGACTTATCTTAAGCTGATGGAAGACATTGTATTTTTTCAGGGCAGCATTGAGCTGAGAATGTGGACATTTTTTATACTTTTGTCAGTGAAATGAAACATGCTTTTTAAAAACATTATTAATAATGACCATAATTTTTGTGTTTTCCAAAAACATGTTTGATAAATTAAATGTTCTTAATCACAGAGAAAAGGAAACATCATCAGGAAGACGATTTAGTATACCTGATGATCACGACTATCATGAGATATCAGATCACCTCAGGGTCAAAAGGGAAGGTTTGTATCTTAATTGTCACCAGTAAAACAATTTAATTCGCTTAGCATATTAAAATAAAGCAGTGATGCTGTAATGTCCTATTTTGTCAAAAAAAAATTTTTTTTTTGTCATGTAGAGTAGTTAACTGCATTGAAATCTTTACATCTTAATAACAAACAAGCAGATCATGAAGTTCATTTTTACATGTATATTCGATCCTCTATTTAGAAGGAAGTCCACCCCCAGAGCTTCCTCCTAGAGTTTCCACGTTTCAGTCTCCAGAAGTATCTAGTCCTGATGTGGCCAGACATGAAAAATCACCATCTCCTGAAGGAGGTAGGATTGTATTAGCCAAAAGACTCAGTCCAGAGGATCAGCGACTCAGAGAAAAACGGGCAAAAACTGCCTTGATACAAAAGGTCGCCCAGGGCCTGGGCTTGAGTAAAACATCTAAGAAAATTAAAACGGCGGAGATTAACCCACCCGACACAGTGAGCTTTAACAGGAACGATCATGCCCGAGGATCTTCTGGGACCATTGACTTGATGTCTAGAGAGTCTGTGATACCTGAGATCTCGGCGGTACCAGAGGTCACCATCCAAGATGATACTGATAGCATTCCATCCACTGACCAAACCAAAGGTGACAGTGGAAACAATTCTGTCCAGGCTCTCACATCGGGCTCCACCAGCTCTTCGGATCGCCCACCATCCACGGTCAGTCAGCACAGTTCCAACAGCGAGGTTGATGGAGAGCTGCAAGTGTTTGGATCACAGAACTTGGAGGAAATGCTGACTTCAGGAAGTGAATCTGAGCCTGAACCAGAGCCTGATAAGGAAGAAATTTATGTAAGCTTCTATTCTGAATGCCTATTTGTACTATCAGATTGTAAGTTTCTATTCTGAATCCTAGTATGTACTATCAGATTGTAAGTTTCTATTCTGAATCCAGGGTCTGTACAATCAGATTGTAAGTTTCTATTCTGAATCCTAGTCTGCACTATCAGGTTGTAAGTTTCTATTCTGAATCCAGGGTCTGTACAATCAGATTGTAAGTTTCTATTCTGAATCCTAGTCTGCACTATCAGATTTTAAGTTTCTATTCTGAATCCAGGGTCTGTACAATCAGATTGTAAGTTTCTTTTCTGAATCCTAGTCTGTACTATCAGATTGTAAGTTTCTATTCTGAATCCAGGGTCTGTACAATCAGATTGTAAGTTTCTATTCTGAATCCAGGGTCTGTACAATCTTATTGTAAGTTTCTATTCTGAATCCTAGTCTGCACTATCAGATTGTAAGTTTCTATTCTGAATCCAGGGTCTGTACAATCAGATTGTAAGTTTCTATTCTGAATCCAGGGTCTGTACAATGAGATTATTGGGTTACATTGTAATTGTGAATGTCATAGAAATATGTTTTCTTTTTAAAAAATATTCCAAAATGCTATTTAATTTTATCAGATTATGTTGTGTCCTCTAAAAGTAATCAATGTAGATAGATAGCGCATTGAGGAATTCTTGAAAAGTGTCCAGTTGCTTAATTAATTACTAAGATTGACACAGTATTCATTTATTTAGGATTAGAAACTAAAAGCAAGGAAATTAAACAACTACTGGAGAGTGTTTTTTTTTTTTTGGTTTTTTTTTTATTACAGGCCCAGAGGAAAGCAAAGAAAGTGTTTTTTATAGCCAGAGAAATCATGTCATCAGAGAGTACTTTTGTGGATGTTCTCAAGCTACTCAACTTGGTCAGTTTTAGATGTGCTGTTTCAAATCCTTGTACAGTATCAGTGGGTTCATGTTTTTATTCATCTTACATCATTTTGTTTCAACTGCCTAGCAAGTACCAGCCCTAGTTGTAATGAAGTTGAACATTTAAATCTTTCTCCTGGTTGTGATTTTACTTTTTTAAAATTTGATCATCTCTGACCTACTTTCAAGTTAGCACAGATTTACTAATGCTGATAAAAGGGGGCAACTCATGACTTATTTCCAAGTGGCTGTTATTGCACTGATGACTAATTTTGTAATTCTTTGTCTACAATTTCTCTGAAACAACATAGGACTTTCGAGTGCACATTTCTAACGCTACAGAAAAATTGGGTCAGCCCGTAATTCCATCAGAAACTCTCAACAAAATCCTGGACTTCTTGCCTCAGCTTCAAAATTTCAATGAAGAATTACTTAAGGACTTCAAAGAGTGTATTGAAAACTGGTTTGTATCCTTTTATATATATATATAGCTCTTTGCTGTATCTATCATTTATGTAGCATCCTAATCCATTGTTAAGTGTATTTATCTGTGAAGCAATGACTGTCGGTAAGATGTCTTAAAGCATTGGTCGGCAAATCGCATCTCACTAGCCGCATGGAGCTCTTTAACGACCTGAGTGTGGCTCGACCAGTCGGCCACAAAACTGTTTTGATTCCGAAAAACATGTTCCTGGCAGGTTCTTGAAAAGAAATTTGGCTTTCAACAAAATTTTAATCGTCCTACTAATTTTTCTCTTTTTTAACTAATGATTTTTCCGACCACTGCCATAAAGTGATATTAAATAGCTCCCAAAAAAATAAGGAGAAATAATTTAGTTTTAACTCTTTCCGTGCCAATCCACGATATATCGCCGATTTGACTGGTCGCGTTTGTCCCAACCCATGATATAACGTCGAAATAATTTCTGTTGTTTATTTCGTTGCCTGCAGCTATTAATCCGACTTTTTATTTTCTTAAACAAACAAATCTTCCTACTTCCTTTTTGTAAGAATTAGTGTTTGTTTACATGTGTTTTTCTAAAAGCTTCGATCTTTTTTTTTTTTCGATTTGTGTTGAAACTTTTGAAGACAAAACAATGGCCACGTAGACTCCAAGCACATCAGCTGTTGCTAGACCACGGAGGTAGTCAAGTTTGCAAACAAAAAAAGCTTTTGTTGCAAATTACTGATTCTGAAAAATCGGATAATAACCATGAATCATTTGAATCTGATTCCAGTGATGATTTTCAGCTTTCTGATGGGTCGGTAAATGCCAAATGGAAATGGTCATTAAATGTCGATAGTGATAGTAGTAGTGGTGGCTGTCAGCACTTTGGCCAAAAAAAAATTTAATTTTTTAAAATATAAAATTACAACATCTGTATAGAGCCTAGAGAATGGATTACACAAAAAAACAAGATCAACTTTCTAGCTCAAGTGGTTCAAAAGTTATAAATTTTGTCAAAACCACTTTTTTTTACTAAGGCCACAGTTTCAGTGAGGATTCAGATCATACTAATCCAGTGCCAGCAAAGAGAAGTCCAAAATTAGGCAGAAAAGATGCAAGAACAACAGTGAAAATAAGCATCTGGTTGACTATGATGGGCATGATTGACAGTGTGCATACTGTTCAATGCACAAAATAAACAAACTCTACTGCTATGTGTGCAGCCCTCGTCTGCGTGTGAAGGAGTGCTTCAGAAGGGAACAAACAGAAAGAAATTTTTACCAAAGTAAAATATTTTGTAAATATTTCGATTGACATTTGTGTATATATACATTGCAAAGAAACTGTTTTCTTCACTTGACATTAATGTTACAAAAATGTGTGTAACTCGGTCACTAAGTGGAATATTTTCAAAATGTAAAATGCATTCTGATCAAAAATGGATATATTTTCTGATGATTGAAGCCACACAAAACATTTTTTTTTTATTCATCTCAGAATATTACTAATAAAAATTAAAGTCATATTTTCTTATTGTTTCATTTTTTACATAGTATTTTCTGTTCAATTTCCTTTAATTTGATATGAAATACAGCTATCTTGCTAAAATTGGTAGCCCCAAAATTCATTACTGGTAATTGATAAGAGCACTCTAAAATATTTCTATTGAAAACCGGTCTGGCACAAACATGGAAAAAAACCCTTACATGGAAAGAGTTAAAACACATTATGCTGTGCCTTTTACAAGTTACCTGCAGAGATAAATAACACATTGAGAATTTCTTGAAAAGTGCAATTTACTAGGATGTGAAGTTTCTTTATTAAAAACTATGATATCTATCATTTATTTTCATTATAATCTATTGTAAAATGTATTTGTCTGTGACGCCACGTCTCTAGGCAATGTAATGACATAGCTCTATTAACTCTTTTCATTTCTCTTATAGAAAAAGCGTAAATTTATTGGCACAGGTAAAATTGATTTAATCATACCACGGGAAGAAAAATAAAAGGATAATAATAATTTCAGTCTATTTTGCAAGTCTGAGAATAAAGTGACATGCCGTAGTGAGAGTTGTCATATTAGGGACATTTTTGTTAGACACAAATGGATTATGCAATGCTATTGCTATAAAAAATGAATATTATCAGTGAAAATATTGATCAATTGCTATCTGAATCTTCTGAGGAAGATAATTGAGAACCAGATTCAAGTGATTCTTCTGAGAAACTGTGCAATGTGAATTTGTTATCTGACTTTATCAGAAGAAAACAAAAAAAACAAAGTGATTTGATATACCATTGATAATAGATAATGAAATTTTAACTGTTCAGGGGAGATATAATAAAGCAGCCTCTCTTATTTTAAATTATGTTACAGCAAATGAATTTTCTTATGTCAACAGTAGAACAAAAACTAATGGTATAGACAACCAAATATTTTTAAATCATACAATCATTCATATTGACCAGTTGGTAAATAAACATATAACCCTAAGGAAAACAAAATAGCACTGGATAACCTCTTTTTTCCATTTTGTTGATATTGTCAGCTATCATCTCTTCAGGAGTGTTGCAAAGAAAATCCTGACAGCTGAACTAAAGCTACCTGATCCCTAGCTCCAAATTGATTTCACAGAGGAACTTATCCGAGCATTAGGTGGATTACTGAAACTGATAATGTTCCAAGTGCATCAAATTTAAATAACACAAAATACAATAGAATATATCTAATAGTCCATGAATACACAGATTTTAAGTGTTCTATAAATTGGAAATGCAAAAAATGTTTTAAAATCCACAATCAAAAGTAGCACATGTGACACTTACCTTTGTTCTAAAAAGACAAGAAACTGTCTAAATGAATACCAAAAAAGTTTCAATTGTCTACTGATATGTTTTGTTGTGTGTAAATAATTTTAAACAGGTACAATATTACTAATCCGTATTTTTTGTGGAAGAATGTTGAATTTTTATTTTCTTTATGATTTCCCTTTTTTTGACACACATTACAAAGCCTTGTATATTTTCTTTCTTAATAAACAGATTTTATAAACAAAATTCGAGGCAGGCTGGTTTATTTTATTTCTCTGCATCTGATCACCAAAACAATTTATTAGACAATTTTATTTTAAAAAATGATGCATTATTTTTCTCATAACTTCTAAGTGTTGAACTTATGTAGAAACAAGCATGTATGGAAGTATCATGCATTTCCCTACACATCTATGTATAGCAGCATGAGCTTTAGACAAGGATTTTAAAAATAAGTGACTCTTTTGTAAATTGCTAGAAAAATCAAGAAAAAGAATGAAATATTCAAGGAATGTAAATAGTTAAATAGCTCTCAAACTAATGAGGAATAATATAGATTTAAAACACATTGTTTTTAAATGGCTTGACAGATTTAAATCGTAGATAAAGTCTGTGATCTATCATGAAAATCACGAAGCCACCGCATACTCTTCAGAGCAAGTAAATCGTGAAACCCCAGTTTCATCAACACACTGTCACAATAAAAGTGTATCAAATATCTTTTCAGGGATGTCAAACCCAGGATTTCTGATGTCTTTGTGAGGAAAGGACCGTTTTTAAAGCTTTATTCCTCATACATCAGCAACTTTGAAAATGCCACTGGTATGCTAGAGAATGCAACTAAGAAACATCCTGCATTCGCAGCTGCTCTGAAAGAGTTTGAGGTAACTAGCTCTAATCAAGGACTTATTGCAGACAGGCTAATATTAATGATGTTATTCTTGCAGTAGATTCAGATAGAAAAAAAAAGAAAAGTTATGAACAATACATGTTAACTGGCATATAGTGTAAAGTGCTTTTAATTAGTAACCAGATAAAGATCTAACAAATCTCAAAATATCTTTTTGTAGCTGCTGCTTTTGTAGAGTCTTTTAGTGAAATGTTTTATGTGTATGTATTCATATGTTAACCAGATAAAAAATTTAACTCTTGTTCTATGTACTTGACAATCCCTAATCCTGGAATAATCATACTATAGATGAGAAGTACAAACAGTTCCAGAATCTTTTATTTAAGCAGTTGAATAAGCCAATAGATTTTTAGCAAGTTTAAAGGATGGCAGCAACGTTAAGTAAAGCTTAATTTTCTGATAATTTTAGCACCAGTATTCATGTTTGTAATATAAACAAAGTATTTTTTTCTCAATTAATTAGTTGAGTATTTAGCATGATGATAAGAATTTTTTAATGAAAATAATTCAATTATTTTCATTTTTTTTTTTTTTTTTTTTTTTTTTTTTGGTTTTTTTTTTTTTTTTTTTTTTTTTTTTTTCATTTTTTTGGGTTTTTTTTAGTACAGAGCACAATCAAAGCAGCTTGTTCTCTGCACTAAAAAAAAATGGATTGTGCCTCATACAGTCTATGGTCGAACTTTTCCCCTAGCTTTTTAAAATGGGTAGCCGGCATTTAGGTTGAGATATATTTTAAAAAAACCAATGTTGTTTTAATCTATACCAACAGTAGCACATTTCAACAGGGTTACTTTGATTAATTCACCCAACATGTTTCTTCCACAGATGAGTTCCAGGTGTGCAAGTCTGGCCTTGAAACATTACATGCTGAAACCTATACAGAGGATTCCACAATACAAGCTCTTACTTCAAGGTGAAAAACATGAAACTATAATACTGAACACACTATCCTATCTCTTTCTTTACCTTCTATAGTATAAGCTCTATTTGAAATATAGGATATTTGTATCTTAGACCTGAGGCACTAAATCACCAAAAAATGATTTGTTAGGAATTAAAAGAAATAAGGAATGCTCATTATTGTAAACTATTAGACACTTAAACAGTATATTTAATTTCTACCATTTCCTAGAAACGGCAATATCATCAAAGCACAATATCAAGCTATCAAATGAATGGCTAGATCAGTGGTTCTTAACCTGGGTTCGATCAAACCCAGGGGTTCGGTGAGTCAGTCTCAGGGGTTCGACAGAGGTCCCCCAAAAAAATGAGAAAAAAAAATCATATTTTATTTTTCCTATTAAGAAGGGTTCGGTGAATGCGCCTATGAAACTGGTGGGGTTCAGTACCTCCGAAAAGGTTAAGAACCACTTGGCTAGATCAAATTAAGTCCCCCCAGAGTCCAAGAAAGCTCATCTTTACTAATACCTTTACATGAAAACAATCCCACAAAGAAACAGCAATGGTTAAATTATGGCCCATGGCTCCAGTTAAAGAGCCTACATTTAGAACTTATGACACAGGTGTTGGTGAATTTGCCATAAGCATATGACACTAAAAGTACTCGTGCTAGAGATAACATTGAAAAGTTGTCAAATATAATGTTTCCTAATCAAGACGTAAGTGCACAAAAATAATTTAATATAAGATCAAGGTACTTTGAAATGTTACTTAACAGAATTATTTGTTCCCAGACTACCTAAAAAACTTGAGCCCAGCTTCCCCTGATTACAAGGATACTCTCAGTAAGTAGGCTTCTTACTTAACCCTTCTTTTAAGATCTTATTTTGTTTTCATTGCATCTTAAATGTTGCATTAAATTCAATTGCTTTTTCCCAGTCTTTGACTTTATATGAATGTAAGATTTATGGGAAAGTACGTCAGAAATGTTGGATTTAAAAGAAAAATATTATTTCAGTCATTTTGATGGAGCATTCTTAAAATTTACATAACTTCATTAAATCTGTCTTGTAACTCACTTATGCTATCAACAATTGTTTCACAGCTGCCCTTGATATTGTGAGTAAAGTGGCTGACCATGCAAATGAGAGTATGAGACATGGGGTAAGTTATTTAGAGTGGGGTTAATTCTTTATACTTGTCTTGGCAAACCTGGGTTTATAAACAATCTTTAATTTTTCTCTTGGCAAACCTGGGTTTGTAAAGAATCTTTCATTTTTCTCTTGGCAAATCTGGAAATCAATAGAGAAAAGGTGCTCTCAGGTGCTTTTCAAATTTATAACTCAGTATCAAAGTGATGAGGCTCACCGTTGCATTCTTTAAATCAATTGCATTATAGCTCTAATTATAAAGAAGAAGAAATCAGTAAGTAGTATGTTATTTTTTTTTTTCTTTCAGGATAATGTGCAAAAGCTGTTGGAGATTCAGAGATCTTTGATTGGTCAGTTTGAGGTCATCCAGCCCGGCAGGGTAAATAAAAATAAGTGTAAAATATTAATTGCCTTTAAATTTAAAAGACTGCTTGAATATCGCCGTCTTATTTAGATAATAATTTGATGCATGTCTATGTATGTTGCTTTCAATCATATATGTGAAAAACAAGGAGTTATAATAGAAATGACAACCATCCGATGTCATTTAGCCCAATCAGGGCGTAAGTAAGTCAATTCCAAACTATAAGTGTTTCGCTGCTTTTTTTACAATTGCGTGTTGCAGACCAAAAAATATCACCATAATAACATTGTCCTTTCTCTACTTTGTCATGGCCAGATACTGATAAAGAAGGGAGAGCTTCAAAAGGTTTCCAGAAAGGAAATGCAACCCAGAATGTTTATCTTGGTAAGTGGTGAAACTAAAGAATCCACACTTTGTAAGAATTGTAAGAATGTTGTATTCATTTTGTACAATCTTTTTTAATAGGACATTTTATTATATCCTTTCATCAGTGTAAGAATGCTTTATTCCCTTTTTACAATGTAGATATTATGAAATTTAATTACATCCATTTGTTCAGTGTAGTTGTTTAGAAAATTTCTAAAACTGTTAAAAATTGTCGACCTTTTGTATTGAAATGTTATGTTTTTAATCATTGCTCCAATATTCTTTAATGAATTTCATATGTTGTTTGTGTTAACGCCAATATAGTTTAACAAATTTCATATGTTTATTGTGATGCCAATATAGTTTAATGAATGTTATATCTTATTTTGATATTATCACCGATACAGTTCAACGATGTGCTTCTGTACACAACACCAACTGCAACTGGTTACAAGATCAACAACATTTTACCATTGATTGGAATGAAGGTGAGTACTATTCACTTTAAAAACTTGTGCATGTCTGTTAATGAGAATAACTTATTATGGCGGCAGTCCTCAAATGTCACCCAGTATGAAACCTCTGATTAATATATATTTAGTATGCATTGTATACACAAATCGGAGATGCACACTGATTGTGATTGAACGGGGAAAATGACCATTTTCCTTAAACATGGTTTCAGATCGACATTTATCTTCATTGTTTGGGTTTTTTTTACCCGCTCCTGCTTAGTTTCCAACATGGCCTGTTTCAATTTTCCTACCACCACCCACCACCTGCCTAAATCTTAATCTAATGCCTTCTTATGTAGCATGCTCATTCAGGGCGCATAGCAACCTAAATACTTGTGACTCTTTTAAATTTATTAGTGATCTAGCCAGACGCTCTTCTTTATAAGGAGAAATATGATGATTTTATCCTTTTTTGGTTACCAAGTTGCGAACATTAATAAGTTAAGCATGGCTTTCTAAGTTGTTTATTAGCACCAATTAAAAAAACACTATAGAAACAAACATATTTATTGTCTATTGAAACTCCAGACACGTAAGATAGTGCTAGTAATTTGTTTCACTGAAGATAGTGCTAGTAATGGGTGATGTCAACTCTGTGACCATGACAACAGCAGTGAGCATGGGGAAATAGACCGATATTTAATTCGGGACATCATAATTTTAAGTTCAGTCTATAAAAATATAATTTTGTTATAAAATTTTAACAGAAGGATGGTCACAGCTAAAAAGTGGCAAAAATTATGTATTTGCATCACAGAACAGGAGAGAAGCAATAGTCATAGACAGTGCTATCAGGCTGGGAGAGAAGTAGAAAGATGCCTGTCATCTGGCATAGGAAATTAAGGTTTATTGGAGACATCAATTGAACAGAATCTGTTAAGTGGTACAATACAAAATAATGAAACAAAAAATGTATATTTTACTATTCCTTGAACTGGGAATAGCTTTGCGTGGCAATTCCTAGTATGTTGGTGAAAAATACAATGGACATTTTCTAGGCGTCAGAGTTGTTGTCTCATTGGGATCCAATTCAAAATGAACATGTGTAGCAAGTTAGAGAGTCACAAGAAAAGGGAGAACAACTTCAAGTACATCATCTCAGTGCAGATTACCAATACGAGTTAAATTGCTGAATGTTCCTCACTTGTAAAGCAACACATTTTGGAGGACAGGAAAACTGCAGAGTACTTTGTTTTTATTGTTGATTCCACACTGATGTAATACCATATGAAAACCAGTATGAAATTTTAGTTTGTGGACACAAGCCTTAAAACGGTAAAGCAGCACAGATGTTAGTAGAAACATTGACAAAAACGCAATGTCGGATTGTTGTGCACATGGATATGACAATGCAGCCAACACACCAGGAAAATATAAAGGTGCACAAGCAAGAATACTTGAGAAATGTCAAACAGCTTTATTTTCAACACAATTAATTTGTGTGGCAAGGATGCCACAGAATTATTTCTGAAGCAGTAAAATAGTTTGGAATTGTGCAAACTGTTTACAACTTGTTTAGATCTTGTCCACAGCATGTCTAACACAAAATGGTCAGACCATGTTGAAAGTATAAAAGCCCACCTGCCAGGCATCAAATTAGCATTAGAAAACCTCTTGGAGTTGAACCTAAATGACAAAACAAGAACAGAGATAAATGGAGTTTTGTCTTATGTCACATCTTTTATTTGTTTGATAATTTTTTTTTAGTATGGTACAGAATATTAGTTCCATTTGACATCTGTAACAAGGTTATTCAGTCCAGAAATGCAATGCTGGATGTTGAAGTGATCAACTGAAAATCTTAATTTCAGAACTGAAAAATCTTCAGAAAGCTGGAAAAGTATGTGGAGCAAAGCTGATCATGTTGCTTCTTCTTCTAATTTGTGCATAGGAATGAAACTCTATTGAACTCGTGGTGAAGCAAAAGAAAGAGGTTCCATGATGAAGGTGCTAGAGAAGAAGCAGATTTGTCTAAGCAAGATGAAATGGATGAATCTCCTGAGGAAGCATATTTAAGAAAGTCTGTCATCTATGTAATATTGGATAATGTAATTGGTGGACTCGCTGTTCATTTCAATGATGCAGTGAAAATTTCTAAAAAAGTTCAGTTTCCTCTGAACTGAAAGGAAAATAAAAATTACTGGCTGATCAATATCCTGCTGATGTCAGTAAAGATCTTGTAATGAAGATGAGTCATTTGCCATCTGTTCATATAGCAAATTTTGGAGAGGGCCAACTGAGTCCAATGAAGCTACTGAATTGCTGGAAAAGATGCCAGGTAGAAGGACTCTTTCCAAATATATGTGTCTACTTCCATATTCTGTTAACAATTCCTGCCACTGTCTCCACTGCATAAAGCTCATTCAGAAAACTAAAGCTGATAAAAATGATCTAAGATTGACTATGTCATGGGGGAACTGGTAGATTTAGCAAGACTCTGTACTGAGTCTGACTTGCAAAAACATTGATTTTTATGATATTATTCACAGCGTTGCCAAGAAAAAGACAAGGAAAGCATCTTTGTTATGCAGAATATAAATTTCATTAAATCTCACTGTAATAACTGTAATGAGTTTGTAATCAATCTAGTATTAAATTCATTGCTCATGTATATTGTTTCATTATTATTTATATACTTATGTATATTATTGTTTCTATTATCTTTTACAAAAGTACCTGTCCTCTTTATAAAAATATTTGCAGGTATGTTATAATTTAATAAATAGATTATTACATTATTGATGTGTGTGTAGGTGATGGCGGCCCATTTTTAGTCTTGTTCCAGCACTTAATAATCCTCTCGATGGCCCTGATATTAACAATTACTTTTTAACATATCAATTCACCTTTGACCTCTCACCTCATTTTGCAGGTCACCTCACCCAAACTTGAAGATTATAAATATGAATTCAGCATAATAGGAGTCCAAAGGTCATTTACTCTCTGTACCAGGTCAGCTGTTAAATTATTGTTTAAATATTTTGCTACAATGTTTTTTTTAAAAATCTAATTCTCACTAAAAACTAATGGTTAAAATTCTTCCTCACACAATACAAGACTAATGTAAGGGAAAATATTGAGTTGCAGTGGTAAAGCAAATTATTATTAAATAAGATCAGATCTTGGATCCACCTTGTCTCAAGTTACTCAATACTTTAAAAATAGCAGAAAAGCAATCAATTTTACCATTTCAGCCAAAGTATTTGTGAACCTTTAACAACACACTGGTTGAAAAATGCAACTGCATGGGCTTGCTTTTTTTTTTCCCCAGCACACCTAAAGAGAAGGAGGAGTGGGTCAAGGCACTGCAGTTGGCTATAGAGACCAATGCCAAGAAGCAGCACACATTTGAGGCTGTCAAACAAGGACAGGTATGTGATGTGAGGGCACTAGAAATAAGAGCAGTCAGAGAACAGATCATATTGAAATTCTGCTGGTCCGAGGCAGTTCCTTACACCACCTAACAACACAGCCATTGAAAGAAACTTTCACATATTTTTTATACTTTATACTATTGATTTATTCAAAATCTAGTCATCTTTGTCTAGTTAAAACTTTGGGAACCTTTGAATTAGTAGGCTCGGCTCTCTATTAATAAAATACAATAAAATTAGGTTTAATTTTTTGGTAATCATTCCAAAGAGCTATGCAGTCCATTTTTTAAGTTTTTATAACACTTTCATAAAAATTGAACTTGAAACAGGATTCACTATTAGACAAGAACTTTATCCTGGGCACCAAAGCCCCACTGTGGGTTCCAGACTCGAGGGTGACGATGTGTACGCTTTGTCTTGTGGAATTCACATTGACATGGAGGAGGCACCACTGCAGATCATGTGGACGGGTAAAAATCTTGATGCATGGTGGAGGAGGACATTAATGAAATGCCACTTGGTTGATAATGATTAATGAAGTGATGATAAAAGTGAATGTTTATTATTTTGGTTCCATTAATTATGTAATGGTAGTGCTTGTCAAGCTTTAAAAAAAAAAGTGTAATAATTACTATCAGTTACGTGATGTGTTGTCAGGAAATGTGAACAGAAAAATGACTACTATTCATTATTTTCCCACATCTCTACTCTTCTTCCTGTCCAGTTTTACGGGTGTTAGTTCCAGTCCCCACCATATCTCTTAAACACTTTTAAGAATGTCCTTATAACAGTTACAACGGCATACTACAAATGTTGAACCAGTGAACTGTTTGTTTCTCCAACTGCAGATAATCTGCTCCCAATGCTCTGACAATAAAGCCCCCTTAAGATATCTCCAGAACAAACCAGCCAGAGTCTGTGACCAGTGCTTTGAAACACTTAAACAAGGTAAGCTTTTAGTAATACAGTAGTAAAAAAAATATGTGAGTTTGTTACATTTCATTACATTAACCATGACAGAGTAAGAATGTCAGGAAAATATTTTGTTTCTGTGGTAAGAAAGTAAAATTATAATTTGATCCTCACATTATACTGATATTAATAAAATTTGGGAGGCAGAAATAAAATCCCAAATTTCCAACTTAAAAAACAAAAGGCTGTAGAAGTAACGAGAGTTGGATGTATGTATTTCTATGAGAGTTTGAGGAATGTATTTCTATGAGAGTTTCATGCATATGTTCCTATGAGCCTTTTTTTAATGTATTTCTATAAGAGTTTGATGAATGTGTTACAACGAGACTTTGATGAATGTATTTCTATGAGAATTTGATAAATATGTTACTATGAGACTTTGATGAATGTACTTGTATGAGAGTTTGATCAATGTATTTTTATTTATTTCCCCAGAGCTGAAAAAAGAGCTGGAAGAAACTGCGAGGAAGCCATCCAGTTCCTCATCCCAAACATCAGATGACCCGACATCCCCAAAAGGCACCCCTCAAGAGTTGTCAGATGGGGCTACAGTGGATGATGGTGGCAGCATCAGCAACCTCTTGTCCATGTTTCAGAAAATTAGGATCAACAAAACAAAGCCTAATGTACAAAGCCGCCCATCTGTTCTAAAGGAGGTTTGTGCTAAAGATGTTTGGGTTTTTTTTAATGCTAGAAAAGAAAATGTACCAATTTCTTAAAGTGTTGTTTTTTTTTTAAAGTGGGCTCCATTAAGTTGAAGTTTTGTTTTACTATTCATTATTATTTAATTTTTTACAATGAAATAGTCTTTGTTCTTGATTGCTTATCTGTCATAACATCACTTAATTTTGTCTATTGGAGCAGACCTGTTTACTCTTACGATTTTGGCGTACAATGTATGATAATGATATCTTTTACAATTGTATGCCAAGACCCGACAGAACTACTATTTTAAGAGATTCGCTTGAAAATGCATACATTCCCTTAGTTTTTGTTTCCGATAAAAAATGAAGAAGTACATTTTTGGTTGTTAGTTTTAACTTGCCTTTGCATTCTTCATCCAGCAGTGAATGGATCAAGAAATAGGATTGTTTGGGGACCATCTATAATTATATTTACGTTTGCCCTGAGAGGGGAATGGCGTGGTTTTGATTTAGCAGATTTGGGGGGGGGTCTAAATATTTAAGTCCATAAAATAAACACCACCACATTTTCGTAATAATTATTGTGATGGTCATATTGATGATATTGATGCCTTGTGTTTTCATAATGAACTCTTAGACGCAGTAATATTAATGTAGTCACCCTAGTGACAATTTTATTATAATAATCCATATAGTACCTACACAGTGTGGGGGGAGGGGGGGTCAATTTTTTTAGGTTATGCGTATGAGTGCGTGGGGAGGTGGGGTCCTTGGCAGAAAGAATGTTAGCTATTAAAAAATTCTACAATATTTGTCCTGAAAGTAAAAAAATAGCATATTTATATCTCAAATGCTGTAAAAATACCACGCAATGTTTTGTAGGAATTATCTTCATAATGTTGCCAAGTATTTTCACAAATGAAATTGCTTGATATTGCTCAGATGGTAGTAAGTAGTAGAGGTATTGCAGTAATATTTAGTCCACTGGATACCCAACATGCATGTAACGTTTATTTCATTGGGCTACGCCAGTGCTTCTAGCTTCTAAATTTTTCGCTTCCCGGGTCTTTTGCCAATTTTAATTTTTACACCAGACTCCCTGTGTTAAATTACTTAAATTCTAACCAAAAAACAACACTTAAATAGCTATTACAGAAAAAAAATAAAAGAAAGGTTTGTGTAAAAATAAATATAACACATATGTAAATCACTAAGCGCCCGTATAGTAGCTGCTAAAAGTAGTTACTCTATTGGGTTATTGGGGGAGTGGGTTAGAGAATTTGACTTTTTTTGCATACGTACTATACAGATAAGGCCACCAGTGCAGTCTTCCTCAACAACAACATCCTAGAATGGTTCAAGACCATGGTTGGAGTACGACAAGGCTGCCTGCTCTCCCCCACCCTGTTCAACATCTTCCTAGAGAGAATTATGTCAGATGCTCTGGAAGCGCATGGAGGGACAGCGGGCATTAGTGGCAGAACAATCACCAACCTACGCTTTGCAAACGTCATAGACGGACTGGCTGGGAACGAAGAAGAGCTAGCCAACCTGGTAAAACGTCTCGATAAGACCTCGTCGTCCTATGGCATGCTAATCAGTGCCGAAAAGACAAAACTGATGACAAATAGCACCACAGGCATCACCACTGAAATTAAGGTTGGGGAGGAAAGACTAGAGACTGTAGGCAGCTTCAAATACCTAGGAGCAATAGTCTCAGAAGAAGGCTCCAAGCCCGAAATGATGTCCAGGATTGCCCAGACCACTACAGCACTAAAGAGGCTCAAAAAAATATGGAATGACAAAAATATTGCCCCTGGCACCAAAATCAGGTTGATGTGCTCATTAGTCCTCTCCATTTTCCTGTATGCCTGCGAATCCTGGACATTAACAGCCGATCTTGAAAGGAAAATAAAGGCGATGGAGATGAGATGCTTCAGAAGCATTTTTGGCATCTGCTATAGGGACCATATCTCCAATGATACAGTGAAAGAAAGGGTTCGCCAGGCAATTGGGGAGTACAATGACCTACTGATGACTGTGAAAAAACGCAAACTACAATGGTACGGCCACATAACAAGGAAACAAGGGCTTGCCAAAGAAATATTGCAGGGCACCACAAGAAGAGGGAGAAGAAGACGAAGACAAAGAAAAAGATGGGAGGATAACATCAAAGAGTGGACAGGACTAACACTGGGCGATGCTGTGTGTAGTACAGAAGACAGAGATGAATGGAGGAGGATAGTTCACATGTCATCTGTGGCGCCCCAACGATCCAAGGACTAAGGGACTTGATGATGATGATGACTATACAGATGGTTCCTCCTCAGATTTTTTTGCTTTGGTGCTGTATGAAGTAATTTTGTAACAATTATTCTTACTGTTGAACCACAATGATTGCAGAAACAAAGAAAACTAAAGAATGCATTCTCAACTGTTCAGTGCAGCATCATTAGATTTCCATATATTTGATAGGATCTGAGAGTGCCTTTGAAATCTATGTTTAGAATGCACAGAACAGCTGTACCGGTATATTTTTAATGCCCCCTCTTCTTTTCACACCTTTATAGCTTGTGTTAGTTATTAGACTGTAATTTGTTAACAGGAGGTAGTCATAATATATATTGATTCTGTTTTTCTTTTTTATTTAAACGGCTTTTCCTAAAAAAAAAAAAATCGCACGTTACTTGGTAGGATTTTTACAATGACGCCCTAATTTGTTAACTAATTCTTATTTTAATCAACTTTATTTTATGCTGAAATGACTTTGAGTTTGAACCAGGTTAAATTTCACCAGTAACTTTATTTTTACCAATAACAGACTGTCATAATGGGATCTGCAGGTTTACCCAAACGTTAATTGATTTCTCTAGCAAATACATGTCTGCAAAAACAAAGTGACTGCTTAGAGCAATAGAAACGTCAGTCACCTGCTTTTAGAAGTTACCTTTTTTGACCTCAACTTAACTCGACGCACGATGCCAGTAGTTATGCATTATATATATTGTATGTTTATTTATTACTATTAAGATACTGTATTGTACGATTTTGAGATGATATTTTAGGAATTCGATGGTAAACAGGTCTGCTGTAGGTTCATGCTAATGATGAAGTTCAGTTTGTACGTGATAGTTTATGTGTCATGACATCACTTGATCCTGTCTACTCTAGGTTCATGCTAATGATGAAGTTCAGTTTGTACGTGATAGTTTGTGTCATGACATCACTTGATCCTGTCTACTCTAGGTTCATGCTAATGATGAAGTTCAGTTTGTACGTGATAGTTTATGTGTCATGACATTACTTGATCCTGTCTCCTCTAGGTTCATGCTAATGATGAAGGGTCAGCTTTGAGTGGTTATCTGCGTGCTTACAAATCCCGGAAGTGGAAGAGGCTTTGGTTTGTGGTCAAAGGTCAAGTGTTGTATACGTACAGGGCCAGTGAGGTGAGTCAGATTTGTTAAAATCTGATACCATTAATGAATTCTTTGATTAGGAAGGGTGTGGTTGACTTTATTTTACCAGATGTTAATTTCTTCTTTGAAATGAGATGGCTGATTAGTCATTTTAATTTTAGTTGTACTGAATGGCATTGTGGCTCTTGAAGTCATGTGACAAGTCATTTTTTCAGGAACAACCCCCCCACCCCGCCCCAACCACCCTTGTTTATTTTTGTGTCATTTATTACCAGAACAATTAATGGTATATAGAGAAGGTGAAACAGTTGCAGGTCATTAAACTCTTTCTATGGCAGTCGGGGTTTTCCACGTTTGTGCCAAACCAAGATAGCTGTATTTCATATCAAATTAAAGGAAATTTGACAGAGAATAAGAATATGTAAAAGATAAAACAATAAGACAATAATAGTTTTAATTTTATTGGTAATATGAAGTCAATTTTTTTTTAAAGTAAATGCTCACCAAATCTGAACATATCAGACTACTCTATGGTCTGTGTAGCTGGTATCCTATTCTGATGCAATCATCAGAAAGTATATCCATTTTGATCAGAATGTATTTTACATTTTGAAAATATTCCATTAAGGGATAGAGTTACACACATTTTTGTTAGGTTAATGTCAACCAAAGAAAACAGTTTCTCTGCAATGTATATAAACACAAATGTCAAACACATTATTTACAAAATGTTTTACTTTGTTATAAATTTCTTTCTGTCTGGTCCTTTCTGAAGCACTCCTTAACATACAGATGAGCCCTTCATGTGCATCTGGTGCACGCATAGCAGCCATCTTTAGTTATTTTGTGCACTTAGCAGTATGCACACTGTCAATCATGCCCTGCATAGTCAACGAGATGCTTATTTTCACCGAGACGCTCATCTGCACTGTTGGGCTTTTTCCCTAGCTTTGATAGGGTGGGCACTAGGGGAATGAATATTTCATGGTTCTGGGCTTTAGAAACTATTCTTCCTGCATCTTTTCTGCCTAATTTCCGACTTCTCTTTAGAGGAACAGAAGTAGTATTATCTGAATCCTCACTGTCACCATAGTAAAAAAAATAGTTTTGAGATCCTTACTAACAAAAATTCATAACTTTTAAACCACTTGAGCTAGAAAGTTGATCTTTATGCTTTTGTAATCCATTCTTTAGGCTCTATACAGCTGTGGTATTTTTATATTTTTAAAATTTTTACCGAAGTGGTGACTTTCCTTACTATTACTATCACCTCCTATATTCTATTTGGCATTTACCGATCCATCAGGAAGCTGAAAATCATCACTGGAATCAGATTCAAATGATTCATGGTTATTGTCCAATGTTTAAGCATCAATAATTCACAATAAAAGCTCTTTTGTTTGCAAACTTGACTACCTACGTGGTCTAGCAACAACTGATCTGCTTGAAGTAGGCATGTTTATTGTTTTTTTTAATAAAGTTTCAACACAAATTAAAAAAAAGGTCGCAATTAGTGGAAAAACAAATGTTAGCAAACTCTACTTCGCACAGGAAAGAAGTAGGAAGAATTATTGTTCATTTGAGAACATAAAACTTAGGATTGATAGTCGTAGGCAACAAAATAAGCTACAGAAATTTATTCAATGATATAATCGTCGATTGGCATGGAAAGAGAGTTAATGTAGCTTTTTTTTTTTTTTTTTTTTTTTTTTTTTTTTTTTTTTTTTTTTTTTTTTTTTTTTTTTTTTTTTTTTTTTTTTTTTTTTTTTTTTTTTTTTTTTTTTTTTTTTTTTTTTTTTGTTGTCTGTTGTTCAAGTTAAACTAATTTTATAGGACTTTCAAGATTCAGTGCAACAATGCTACCATCCAGGTTTTTTTGCATCCAACTTCTCATATTGTGTTTCTTTTTGTTAATTTTGTTTCTTTTAGACAATTTAATTTATGGGGGGGGGGGGAGGCATTTCAGATTTTCTGGTGGGCGGTGACATAGGAAGTGTGGACAGAGGTGCAGTCCGCCCCCAGGGGAATTTTTTTTATTGTGTGGTGGAGGGGTAGCATTTTAGGCCACGATGGAAAAAGTCTTAGCCTACCCAGGGCTGCACTTACCCTAGCTACGCCAATGGCCATAACGGGGACCAGGATGAGCTATAATTCCACCTTTCACTCAACAAAAATCTAAATACAGTTTTGTTGAGGGTATGCTTTTGGCTCCAACTAAGTTTTATCAGGGGAATCCTATATTGACCAAATATAAAATTAGAATTTAAGAAAATCATCTTAATCTAACAACCTTTGTGTGTTTCTTAAAGGTACCAACATTATCATTTGATAAGGGTAGATGGGCAGAAAGAAAGGACACGGGGGGCTAACAAACAAAAATATTGGAGGGCCAGAAAATTTTAGATAAACTAAAAATCAATGGTGAATTCATTATTTCTGCATGGGGGGAGGGGGTAAAATAGCAATTGAGAGGCATCAAAAGTGCACCTGTGCAGAAAAGTGTTGTAAAAAATAAAATTTCTGTAATTCATTTTAGTGCGTACTTTCACACTTCATGGAAGGGCAACAAAATTTTGTTGTCTCTCTACCTGGTTGTGTGGATACAAATGCTATAATTTAAGTTGTTACTGAGTAGTGTTGTTTTTATAATAATAGTGGCCCTCCCTCTCACCCCACCAGAGAGATGCCCTAAAGAAACACGGCTTGTCAATGATAATTAAAAGTACCAATATAGTTGAACAGCAGTTAAGTTGTGGTGCAGCTTAAACTTAAAACTGGGAGGTGCCTATTTTTGGGAGAAAAATTAGGGAATTTAGAATCAAAAGCTGTATTAACCTTTACTATTTGATCATCAAATATATAGAATGTATTAATATTTCATTTATTACCCTATTTCACTAATTTAATTAAAAGAATTATAAAAATGATGATTTATGATTTATTTTTTTATAAAAAATTATATTTTTGCTTTATTGTTGTACACTTAACCCCTCCCCCAGAGAGATGCTTGAAAGAAACACTGCTCCTAAAGATGACATTGTCTTGAACTTAGTATAATGTTTATAGAGTACTCCAGTCTGCTGTCATTTGATGCTGATGAGCACAGTCACTATTTCTTTCAGTAAAGGACAAAAATAATTATACAAATATTTAAATAACTATTGGTGGCACACCCAGTGTGGTGTTGGCCATCTTAAACAATCCCCCTCTCCCCCCCCCCCCCCCCCCCCACCCCCCCCCCCCTCATTTGATGCTGATGAGCACAGTCACTATTTCTTTCAGTAAAGGACAAAAATAATTATACAAATATTTAAATAACTCTTGGTGGCACACCCAGTGTGGTGTTGGCCATCTTAAACACTCCCCCTCTCCCACCCCCCCCCCCTCAACTACCCTCCACAGGTTTAGTTTCTCTGTCGCTACTTCCAATCTAATGGAGATAGATTAATGTTATAATGTATTGTGGTTCTCCAATAAGGAGCATGTCTCCTGAATGCTGTAAAATAGTTGTGACTTTTTTTAATTGTGTATTTTGCCTTTAGGACATGGCTGCAGTAGAGAGTATGCCTCTCCTGGGTTATGAAGTGACACGTTTGAACGCTGTGAGTACGCAATCTACCGTATGTGTGTGATCTTGCAGAGTTTGTGTCTTCCTTCTCAATAGTTGCATGATTAATAGGCATTGTTTCCTCCTTAAATACAATTCTGTAAATTTAAAAGAGGCCCAAAAAAAAATAATAATAACCTGTATATAAATAAATCTATAATAGGCCTCTAGTGTTTACCTGAGTCCTTTGTAGTTTGGTAAGAAGCAATGCTATTTTGTTCCACCTTGATTTACCCAACCAGGCATTTGAAGGTGCGGAGCCAGATTTACTTTTTGAGTTGACCCACCAGAACAACCAGCCTCTGGGGAACAGAAATCTTGGTGCTGAAAAAACCACTCAGAGGCTAATCTTCCGCACAGACACAGTGGCTGCAACAATCAAGTGAGTTCCTACTTCCTAGTGTTCACAAGACAAATCATATTGTTTGTGGTTTCATAAAATCAGTTGTATACTCTGTAATTTAAATTAGCGGCTTTTTGGGTTTTTTTTTATGTTTTCATTGAAGTTTTAATATAAAAACACCTCATTAATGTTTTTGGGGGGATTTTCTAGTTTGAAAACAAATTGAACTATTAAATAGGAAAAGTTACTACATAAGTTTGTATTGTTGAAATGTTTGAGAATCTACCATGATGAAACAAGAGACGTGCAATTCAATAATAATTTGTCGTTTTGTTTTGTTGTTTTTTTCAGGTGGGTGAGTGTCTTAACAGAGGCTTCGTGCACTCACTTAACATAATTTATGTTAAAAAATACTTGATTTCTTCATGGGCCTGAGTGAGAGCTGTGTTGAGTGCTGCCACAACATGCAGCATTCTGGGCGTGTCCTTTTCACAACTAATTTGGAAAATCCAGAAATATTCTTTGAGTGTGTGGCATGTCAAGAATAACCTTAAAAAGGATTTTGATGAATTTAAATAACTTTTTTTTTAATATAGGGGTCAACTTGACACATATGAAAATGAAAAGTAAATGCATTGAAAGTTGATACTTTGAATGAATAAGTTTGTAAAGATAATATTACCCCTCCCACTTCAAATTACTTCCCCCGTGTCCAAAATGCCTCCCCTGTGTTGATCAATTTCCTGGGGATTATCTAGCTGTATGCGAGTGCCGTTCTGTACATGCATCTTTGGAACATCACAAACTTGTGGATAAAATGACTAAAAGATATGAACACAAAAACTTGTCTTTCTTTGTAAATAATAATTTTGAGGTACCACTAGCTAGACAACGATGATTTGTTACTAACACAATAGTGTATTTATACATTTTTAAATACAAATATATATATATAAATGTCCTTGTGAGCAAAGTAGGATTATTGGAGAGAATTTTTTTTTAGGTAGGAAGAATTACGGCTTAAAAAAAGGAACTGCAAAGAAGCCAGAGGGATTTGCTATCCTTGTACGGAACTTGTGTGTTAATTCTATCACAAGTAGTGCAATGCCATTTTTTTTTTAAAATAAAAAACCATCCAACATTGGTGCAACTTGGTGGTTGGAAAGATAAGGTTAAAATGGTAAACACTATTCCAACAGCTTGAGAAAATGTTTTATTTCAAATGCTCTAGCATAATTTAGAATTTTGTTTTCACTGCAAAGCTTTTAATGAGCACTATAAATAAATGTATATAAATATTTGGCAAAAATACTCAAATGGGGTTATCAAAGAGAGAAAACAAACCTGTTGTCAGTTATATTTAAAATTGTCCCAACAGATAAAAGTGCAATTAAAAATGTAATTTCACCATTGACATTAATGCTGAAACAGTGCTTTTTTTATATAATAACAAAAACAGCTTTGTGTATAACACCAATTGCTCCTCTCTGCTCACAAGGAAGGATGTCATCATACATAAATATTGATGTTTAATAAACTTGAGCATAAATTATTTCCTAAAAGCTGCTTATTTACTCATAAAATTGATTATACGGGTGGCAATATCTGTTATATTCCTTGTAAAAATAGGTAGGCATCTGCTGGAGATTTTAATTTTAAAAATTCCTTTTCACATTGGTAGCCATCAGAGCCGTTAGACCTTGCAACCCAACGACTGCATGGGTTTAAGATATTTAAGGTGCCTATTGGTGAGGTGCAGGGGTCCTCAGAAAGTCACAGGTGGCAGGGAGACTCCGAAAGTCATAAGGTGGCAAGGGTCCTCAAAAAGTCATAGGTGGCAGGGGACCTCAGAAAGTCACAGGCGGCTCTGGTAGTCATTCTCCATCAGTGTTAAAACTTGATGTTATCTATTGTGGATTTTGTTTACTTTGGTTTTTAACATTTATTTTTAGTTGCAACAATGTTTTATTTTTAAACTTGTACACAGTAGAGGACAGCTTACACTTTTGTTTTGACTGTTCAACAGTATGGAGTTTTAATTCAGTTGATTTTGTTTTAAGAAGCATATAGTAAACAATGGTTCTAAATGTTAGCAAAATTAAAGAAAATTTTCTCATATTCATTTAATGTAGAAGGAATTTTATTAATATTTCTTTTTCATTTTTTGAAATAAAAAATTAAATGCTCTTTTTATATGCTTTTTAATTACTTATTTGGACAACTCCAGCATTTTAGAACTTCGGTTTTAAATTTTCAACAACCTGGTAAAAACCAAGTCTAGTTTTCAGTATGTTTTGAATTTAAAATTTGTTTTTATTGCTAATCTTGTAATTAACCTTTTGTTTTCATAAACATTAATAGGATCTCCATTATTGCCTTGAAAACATAAGAGGCCCTCCATTATTGCCTTGAAGCATAATAGGTCCTCCATTATTGCCTTGAAACATAATAGGTCCTCCATTATTGCCCTAAAGCATAATAGGCCCTCCATTATTGCCTTGAGAAATGAGGCTCCAGCTATGTACCCATGTAATAATCTTCTAAAAATAAGATAAGCTTTTAAACTGATGTAGTTTAATAAGGTCTATCAACAAGAAGATTGTCATAGTAGTGTATCCTCTTGACCAAACGAAATTTCACTACTTTGGAACTATTAATACTGGGTTTGGCCTTATGTCTTACTTATGATATAGCTTATAGCGATTAATGTTGCTACTTTTAAACTATGTAATTTATATCTTTTGCCATTATTGGGGGTAAAAATAACACTTTCACTCTGTAGTTTAAAATATCCTCAATTAAACATGGTTAAACAAGATTTGCCAATACAGTTTTAACTCAACATTATAAATGGTCTTTGAAACACGGGTGTTGACATGAAGTCACAGAGAGTTTTGCAAAGACACACAAAGAAGCATTATAATTATAAAAGAAGAAGACAGCTTTTATGGGGACTCAGCATAGTTAGAAAGAGCAACTTGTTTGACCGTACCTGAAGTGCCTTTGATCAATGGTTTTCCCACCTCTTCCTTTACCTATTGGTGGAATTTTGTACACAACTGTTTTAACTTGGCTCACGATATTTAACTTTATCTTTGTACACAACTGTTTTATCTCTAACCTGGCTTTAGCTTTGTTTAGGAATATGCCCTACTTTGGTGCACATTACATTTAAATCACCTTAAAAAGTGCAATTTTACTAACCCTATTTACTTATTGTGTTCTTTTTCTAAAATACACTTGTCATATCTATTAATTATTGTGCCTTGTGAGCAAGTACAAATATTGGATCATATTCTTAATTTTAATGGGTCAATATATATTTTGTATTAGTTTTTCTTACTCTTAGTGTATTTCTTTCCCTCTAGAAATATTGCAGGCACCATCTTTACTTTTGTTATGTCTTGCAAGAGAGGATAAACTCTTTTAATAGTCTTGTGTTCCATTGTTAGCATTGCTACCTTTGACATTGCCAGTTGAAATGGCTGCATGCAAGTGTCCCAATGCTCACAACAACAAATGGATTGTTTTCAAAGAGGTAATAATATTTTCTATGTACAAAACCAAAATGCAATTCATCTATTTGTACCAACTACTTTTACTATGTACCCTATAAAACTTACATTTACAGCACCAAATATTTTATGAACAAAAATTTTTATCCTCAATCTAGTGATCACTCGAAATATGCAAATTTACCAACAGTTTATGTCTAAACGCAAACACCCAAATTCTTTGTTCATTTCTAGTGTATAAATGTGTACAAGTATGTATAAATCATATAACCTAAACTACTGCATGTTAATTAGTGATTGAGGACTCCGCAAATGTTAGACATGCCTTTTGTTTTAAAGCTGATTTTTGTTTGAAAATTTAGTTTTACAAATATTATAATAGATTTCACAAAGGGCTTGACAGCCATCTTTATTGATATTATTGCATATAATTTGTTCCCTTGTTATTATATTCTACCTTTTTTTTTAAAAAAAAACTTTCTCTGTACCATTCAGCATTGCTGGTTATTTTAACCAATATTCCATGAATTTTTCTTATAAGTTTTATTTTTGTCAATTGTAAATAACGAATGTCAATTAGATACTCTGTTCTCCATTAATGTATTTCCAAATAAATGTACATGTTTGAGGGGAGGTCAGGTGTTATCTCACAGCTCCTGTTTGCTTCATGCAATCTTCAAAATTCATGACAAATCTTCCTTCTTTTATTTATGTGTCCTTGTGCAAATTATTATGAACCAAACATGAATCCTGCAATTTTTGTTTATTATTGATCAGGAGTGCTGTGAGCTTATTAAACCCATCGATCCATTTTGTTAATAACATGTATTGAACTTTTTAAATACCTATACACTTTCCTGCTAGCAAAATACAGGTGTTATACTGAGTTTAGTTATTCAGTTTCTTGTTTAGCTGATTCATTTTTTACTGGTGCTCTGTGGCGTCAACACTATTAATTTTAATTTTGCTGAGCATTGAATAACATGAGCGTTTTTTTTTTAAATAAAAATAGTTCACATTTTATGGAAACTTCCTTACTTTGAAAATTAAAGAGTTAAATATAACATATGTTAAGAAACTGTAACATTTTATTCAAAACATAAGTGTTTGATTAGTGGGAGTCATAATCATCACAACAGTACTAAATAAAAAATATTTTTAAAAAAGTTGTATTACTATGCTATGCGGATTAGCTATTTAACTAAAATTGACTCTGTTGACTTGTATTTGGCACTAAGTATAAAGTATCATCATTTAAAGGAATGAAACCTCTTACTCCAAGATGACTTCTTTCGGCTCTCTTCAATTCAAATTTAAAGTTAAAGTCCTTGGTCAAAGCTGGACAGATTTGTGATTACATTTTGAACTTTATCCCAATTCATAATTATAATGAAGTCTGATGGGCTTTTTATGTTGACAAATAAGTGCAATATTTTCATTTGTGAATTTGTCTAAAAGTGGCATCAGAAATGCTTATCAGTTTTGGTTCTAAATAATTAATGTAATTATTACATCTAAATTTCAGTTTTAAATTCTTCCTTTGTGGACTGAACAAATCTTACCATTAACAACATTAGTCAACTATCCACCATAACTTATAAGAGCTTTTATAACATAGATAGATATGTGCAGATTTTTTAGGCTTGCAGTAATTGTTTAAACAGTTGCCAGCAGTCTAATCAATAATTTGCTTAGATGCTCATCCATATTAATGGTTATATCATTTGCTGTCATTCCTCAACATATTAATAAAAAAAACAATATGTTTGATTATTTTGTTTTTCTTTTACTTACATTACCATAAAAAAAAATGGTTTTACTTTTTGATAACTTAAGCTAAAAGATGTTTTTAAAAAGGTGACATAACTTTTCAACACAAATATTAAGAATTGTAAATTTGTGTTACAATGCCATTGGGTAGCAATGATAAAAAAGTCTTTCTCAGTTATTTGCTCTGTGTCTTTCTGGGTGACACCAACAGGCATTGAAATAGTTTCTAGTCCATCCATTACTTTATCATGAGCTCATGAGTCTGTCTGTGGGATCTGTTTTTCTGATTATCAGAATCATGAATTCCACCTAAGGAGTTCTTGCCATTCTGCTATTTGCCCAACATCTAGGGGGATGACCCTCAATGTGGTGAGTGCCAACTTGTACCAAATACAACTGTTTGTCTAAGGGGTGCTTGGGATTGTTAGCTAGTTTATTCATACACTCAAAAGAAGAATAAAAAGATAATGATAAGAGCAATGCAAATAAAGTTGATAGATTTATATTTATTCTTTGGCTCAGTCACAAACCAGAGGTAACATTACAAATAATGCATCAGATAATTTACTATTTAATCACATGGTGACATCTCAATTTTTCTTAACAGGATATAGAAACAGAATCAAAATTTTCTTCAAATGTGCCATTTCATGAATTTTGAGCTTTAACACTGCACATGATTTTAAAGTTGAAGTATTTAAGTCCAGGTCTTACTAAAGACATGAAAGTTAGCAAGAATTTCAATTTAATATAACAACAGACTTTCATCAAATTTATGCATTGTGCAAATTACTTGATGCCTTGTGAAGTTTTAAGATCAGACAGTGCACCAACACTATGTTACATAATATTCTCTTATACAGGTTACCTGTCAGGCAACATAAAAAATGAGTCTAAATAAGATGAATTTCAATTTACGATGTAGTAGATTAAAATAGAATGAATATTTGACTAAATTATGTTGTTTAATGTGGTCTTAATCACATGTACACAAACAAAACAGGTCAGAATTATAATACAGATAGTCTTCAATGAACAGTGGGGCACATAAAGTCTGTGCACATACATTTACATGAACATTACACATAACTTGATAACCGCACTGTTAAATAATTTGTTATTGCACATATTTCTTATCACACAAACAGTCATTCAATGAGACTTGGTGTTCTCTAAATGTTGGACCCTCAAGGAAGCACAGGTCATTTAACATCAGAAATACTGCAGTAGTAAGAGGCTGTCTTGCCTATTTCACATCTGATTAGCTTCAGCCGTAAAATTTCATCTACAAGGTGGCTGACAGAAGCTATTTTTGTACTTGTTTCTATCTGCATTAACTGGTGACCCATGAATGATCTCGCTACTGTGTTACAGACAGTTCTTTTAAAGAGAGCAATCTTGTCTAAAAAATTCAGTGTAATACAAACAATTCACATTAATCACTGGTACTCGGTGCTTATAAAATAAGTTTCTACATTTTATAAAGTGGTTGAAAATTTCAGGGGCATTTTTTTTTAATTTTAAATAAATTTTAAAAAGAATAGAATGCATCATATTTATTATTAGAGGGTCTTTTATTTACTGTTGCTTAAAAATATATTATATCTTTTCTTATAAAAACTAAAATCAGTTGACATAAATATCTCAATTTTTGTCATGGAGTCAAATATTGCTTGAATATTGAAACAGAACATGATAATCAGCATATATCA